CTTACAGGTTCCCAGCGGGAGATCGGGGCTGGGAGGGGCAGCGTCTCCGCCCCGCCCCCCCGCCCCCCAGCCTGTAGCCTCCGGTCCAGCCCAGCCCCCTCCACGGCACCGGCCCCTGCACTCACTCTGCCACTCGGTGATGGAGATCATGCCGCAGGCTGCCTGGGGGGCCTTCCGGGTCGAAGCTGCCAAGGGCTGAGGAGCAGAGAGGACCAGACTTCTTGTGCGTGCTCCAGGGAAGCTGACCCTTGATAAATTGTGAAATGAGCCTCTGGTAAATCATTAACTCCCTCCCCTCTCCAAACCCCACCTCTCCCCCCCTCCTCACCCAAATGGCTGCTTAAAGTCGTAGGCTCCCTTCTCCCGGGTCGTCCCAGAGGGCACTGGCCCCTGTCACACGCTCGCTTACCTGGAGGAGGCAACCCCCCCCCTCCACCGACCCCTCCAGCGCCCCCACTCCGGCGCCCTGAGGCTGAGTTCAGCTGCTTCCAAGTCCTCCGCAAAACTCAGACCGTATAGGGGACTGGGATCTCGGGCTACCCAGGTTCCTTACCTGGTTTGATGGTGGGGGGGAGTGGGGTTCTGGGAAGACTTGGAATCCGTGTTTCTCTTTGGAAAAGCACTCAATTCATCCTGCAGGTCAAGTCCCCTTGCTTTGCGCTAGTACCCATACTAGACAATAGGGGGCGGCAAGTCACTGAGTAAAACCTGTTGCAGGCCGTCTCTGGGAGAGCGGGATTGGGTTACATCAAGGGCAAAAGTGCCCCAGGGAGGGCTTCCACCTCCTTTTCCCCAGCGGTGTCCAGCTTTGGACAGTGAGGTTGAGCTAGGGACGACGAAAGATGAATTTGGGCTTGGGGTAGGGCTGGACACTTCCAGAAGCCTGGTTCTAGTTGACCTACCAGCTGTATAGACATGGATGCATCCTTTCCTCCCTCTGTAGGCCTGCAGAAAGAGGGGTAGATAGTTCCTAACATCCTTTCTGCCGCTGTGGAGCCCTGACTCTCAACCCTGTGAGCCAGCATCCCCTTTGTAATGTCTCCTCTATCCTGAAATGAAGTTCATAGATGAGATGACCAATCTACACACGCCATTTTTAAAAACACTAATTATAATAAAGAAGGAAAAGAAGCATTTATAATAGAGCACACTGTCTCTCAATATATAAATGCTCAGGCAAGACTTACCCAGAAGACATAAATGAAACAGGCAGATTGCTTGCACCTACTTATAATAAATATGCTTAAATTTAAGAGAACTAGAAAGCCAGCGTCCTTGTATTGCAAAACAAAAACAACCCCACCCCAAGAAAATGAGAGAGCAGTAGGAAATGAAATGTTAGGTAAGTAATAACAGACCAGATGTACTTACATATAAAAAGAGGGAAATAGCCTTAAGAGAAAGAGGGAAATAGTCTTAATTGAAGGAGGGATAACATAGCAAGGCAAAGTGGAGACAACGAGGAGGCGTGCTGTGAATGCAGATGAACCGGGTCTTCTGTGTGTATTGTTCAAACAGCTCCCCAAGCCCCCCGGAGCAGGGTAGCGCGGGCATATCACCGGCACAGGGACCTCTGTCTTGAAATGTCCTCGGTCGTGCGTTAAGGTAAAACTGCGGCTGTGGGCCTTGGAGGTTGTGTATTTCCAACAGACAACGGGGAATGGAGGGTGGTCTGGCCAGGGAGACGTGATACAGGCACCTGAGGGCGCGTGCCTCTGTGTGTGTGTGTGTGTGTGTGCATGCGCGTGCGTGCGCCTGGGACAGTGGTGGAGAAAGCTAGACACACAATATGCAAGTCCCCCAAACATTTCCACGCGCAATCCTTACAACATCGGTGTTCGTCCCAGGGCTGCAAAAACTTTACAAATGTCAAGAATGGCAATCCTATGAAATCATCCCTAAAAACAACTATTAAGGAGATCTAATGAGATCTCCTGCCTTTCAGGTATCTTGGCTTTCATGATTGGTTCTCTCGGATCTCCGCCGTTAACTATTTGCAGTGAGTCTGTGCTTGCTCAGTGAGACCCTACTGCCTCGGAACAGTCCTCAGCCTCATAAACAGTACTTGTTTATGAGGTTATACTACAGTGTGCAGACAATGCGCGCAGTGGTTTATTCAACATTTTTGAGACAATGTCTTTATTCCATTTCAGTTTCTTCTCCATTAGGATGATCATGTAACTTACCGAGGTATTCATAAACTGACTTAAAAAAACAGAAAGCTCAGGGGCACCTGGGTGGCTCAGTGGGTTGAGTGTGGGACTCTTGATTTGGCTCAGGTCATGATCTCAGGGTCGTGAGATGGGGCTCCGAGTGGGGCTCCGCGCTCAGCAGGGAGTCCGCTTGAGATTCTCTCTCTCCCTCCGCCCTTCCCCCCTCAAATAAATAAATCTTTAAAAAAAAACCCTTAGAAGCCGGTAAGAACTTCTTAGTACTATTATGAATTGCAGTATGACCAACGTGTACTGGAAGGCGTTTAGTTCAGTTATACATTTTAAAGTCATGCAGAGTGGAGGACGGTTACTGTTTTGGAAATCTACCTGGTGCATTGCTGCAGCTAACTGCCAGTAAGAGCTTTGCCCTCTTGTCGCTGAGATAACCTCAGCTCCCAGCAAATTTCCAACATTTCCCCTAGGGGGTGCTATCACACCCCCCCACATTGCCCCCCCGCCCGCCCCCCCACACCATTGAAAACCACTGGTTGGTTAAGAGCTTGGGCTCTGAAGTCAGAGTGCTCTGCGCTTCAGCGTAGCTTCGGGAGACCTTAGACATTTTATTTACCCTTTCCACGCCTCAGCGTCTGGGATGATAATAGTACTTATCACGTAGAGCTAGAACGAGGACAGCTGAGTAAATGCACAGAACCGGGTACCTGGCACATAGCAAATACTGAATGAGCCAGTGTTATTACTCTTCTAGTATAGCTATGATAATATTGTTATTAATATTACCATATTAGGACACTATAGTATACTATTAAATGCTGTTATACGAAAGACTTCTGCTCTCAAATGTGGTTCTAAACTGCTCCCACAGGTGCATAAAATAGCAGTTAGGAATACCTCCCCCCCTCCCCACGCCATGGTGCTCATCTGTGAGCTTGGAGGAACTGAACTCTCCTCAAACAGGGCTCTCCCAGCCTGATTCTCCGATGGCAGGTGCTGGGTGCTGGAGTTGGGCCCAGAGGGGCTTGTCCACAGAGCCCACAGTCCTGGAGAGGAGCCCCTTCATGGGGGCAACCCCAGGGAGGAGGATGTAGGCTCTAGAATGCGGGAGCTGGAGGAATAGAGGTGGGCAGGGGGCAACATCTCATAGGGCTGGATGGTGGGGGCCCTGGAGATGTCTTCATCGAAGGCGGTGGAGGCAGTGAAGAGGGGGACATTGGGAGACATTCTCCCTTTTCCCTCATCGTGCCCCTGCAGGTGGCCAAGGGGCCCACACAATGTCACCACCACCTCCTCACATTTGTAAATGAATTTGAGCTTTCAACGTGTTTTTCTCATATTCATTTTCTCATTTGACTTTCTTGAGAGCCCCATAAGGTGGTGGTTAATATCCCCATTTCATGGACCAGGAAACTGAGGCTCAAGAATTTTAGTGACCTGACCCATCTTCAGGCAGCTAGAAGGAGCAGGACCAGGACGCAGTGGGGGCTCAGGGATGAGGGAGATGTGGTATAGCCCCCGGTCCCTGGCAGCAGCAGATCTGAAGCCTGGTTGCCTGCCTGAACCCGTCCTGCGTCTCTCCGAGAACAGAACAAGACCACGCTGTTAGAGAGCACCACTCCTTTAGGGGCATTCTGCTAGGTGCTTTGTCGTTTACGTTTCCTGGCTGCCGCCCGCTTTTACAACCCCAGCCCGGCTTGATCAGAGTGCTGATCTGGGCCAGGTGTTGCAGCAGGCAGAAATCCGCGGGCATCCTTCTCGAAGAAGAGCCAGTCCTTGTTTGTGGGGACAGCGACACCCAGCGGGCCCGGTGCTCTCACACCCCGCCTCCTCACCAAGCCGCTGGCTCTGGCCCAGAGGGCGCTGCAGATAGAGACGCAGGTCCTGGAGAGCCACAAGCGGTCCCGTGCCCTCCTCCAGCTCCAGAGACCTCTGTCGTGAGTCTGCATCGGTCCCAATTCTGTCTGATTCACAAAGGACATCAGGGTTTATAGCTCTCCTGGGATGTTACAAAACCCCAAATATAGTCATATTATTTGTTAAACACACACACTCACACACTCACACACACTACTAGCGCTTTAGGAAGGACAACAGGTGTCCAGAATTCGAAATCAGCCCTTAGAACCAGGGCGAGGTAAAATCAGGAATTAGAAAAGCCTTGCGTTCCTATCTCTTCTCAGTTTTCTTCTCTTCCTCGAATTAATGCCTCCACCTCTCCCCAGACATGCTGCAGGGGCCCAGCTGAGGCAGCCTACCACTATCCTGGGCTCACTTTCTCTTGTCCTTTCCACCGCATAGAATTCACAGGGCTTCTTGACTCTTGCTCACTGAAAGATTTCAGATTGAGCAGCCTTCACACTGAGGATCCGGAAAGGATAACCACTGAGGACATAAACCAAAGGCATTGAGTCTGGATGAGAATAATTTGGGTGGCTTCTCTGATGCCCCTCGCCAAATCAATACAACTTCTTGTACCCCAAAGCAGAAATACAGGCCATTGTGTAGTAGTCGAGGAAACTTAAGAATTAATTTTCTTCTCCTACTCTTCTACCCTCTGTCTCAGAGACAGATCAATGGGAGGTTCCTAGGATCTGAACACTGTTCTGGTAACTTTCATCACACAGGACCTTGGGACAAGCCTTGATTTGAGATTACCTGGACAGAGGAGATGAGCACGGTGGGCAGCATATCGCGGACCCAGCTTTGCTTTTAGTCAGGGGAGGCCCGACCCCAGACCCTCTCCCCTTTTCTGCCAGGCTTGGAGATTGCCATGAGCCACAAGACCAGCCTCAGCCACAGGCAGTCACGGACAGAGTGCGAGACACACGCCACTGTACAAACCGTTCATTTTATTTCCTGTATTGGGTTTATACAAACTTGCAAGATACAAACGCAGAGCTCACTGGGATTCTTCAGTATTTATATCTAGAAAGAATGCTGGGGAGTGGGGAAGCAGATGCTTACCTATACTCAGGATGCCCCTCCCTGGGGAGGGGCTCGCTGGCTAGAAAGATGCTATGGGGCGGCTACAGATGTTTGGTCCCCCAACAGAGATGCCCTCTGTTTGGCTAACCTTTTCTTCTAAGGTCACTTTTATACTAAATAAAGACACTGAGATCATACATTTCCTTGTATGGTTTATTGTCTAATACTAGCAGATCAAATTGGCCCCAGTATGTGCATAAATAGATATGTGTATATATATGTATATTTCATATTTTCCTTAGTTTTAAGAGCTGCCAGGTAGGGGGGTGCCTAAAGGGGAAAGGGATCGATTCCGTCTTGCTATAGTCAGCCCTGCCCCAAGAACATGCCTCTCACCAAGGCCGGAGAGCAAGTGTGCACAGCTTGCGACCTCAGAAAAATCTTTAAAGTGACAGTAGCAGTATTTGATTACAGCCTCATGGTTAATGATCAGGGAGGTAATGTGCTAATTGGCAAGGCCCCAGAATAGCAACCAGGGCTGTCCCCCCCGCCCCTCGGTGGGTCACTTAGCCCTGGGCCTCCATCTGGGCCCCATTCTTTCATAACAAGATGCTCTAGGCTGGGAATAGGGTGCCAGGACATGTCAAAGTTGGGAGGTCAGGCTTTAAATGCTGGCCATGAGCTCTGTGACAGTCCCAAACCCTTGATTCCAGATCTGGACAGAAGACTTCCATTCTGCCCAAATCCTTGTGAGGCAAGATCCCCTTGCCTACTTTGTCAGCCACTAAGCAGTTTGGAAGGCTGAGCTGGTGGAGTTCAGCACCCCAGTGGCAGCCCACCAGGGGACAGTCCTGGGGTCTTCTTGGGCAAGGCCGAGCTGTCACCTTGTCTGTGGGACCCACTTCAGTCTGGAAGCTGACTTTGCAGTCTGGATGCCAGACTGAGCCAAAGTCCCCCTTAACAACAGCCCCCCGAGGAAAGGTCACAGGAGACAGATGTCATAGATGTGACCCAGACCAGAAAGGGATCAAAGAGTGTGAGAAGTCCAAGGAACTCGAATGTGTCTGTGCTGAAGGACCTGTGGTCCCAAACCGTTTCTTTTGGCCTTTGCACTGTATCCTGGCTCCGTCAGGGAGTAGGATTCTTGGTGCCGTTTGGTGTAGGTTCCCATTCTGTCTGCCGTTTCCAGCAGATTGGTGATGGGAGGTGGTCCAGGAGCATACGGGGGTGGCGGGGGTGCCCGCTGGGCTGTACTTTTGTGCACACAGCTGTAAACATTTCCTTTGAGAGGTTTCACATCCCGTAACCCTAGAGGGTCGTCAAGAGTTGACAGTGGAATCAAATCCTTAGACCAGGACTTCCAAGAGAATGTCCTGCCCTGGTGAGATGCTCTCCGGGTGAGCTCTGGGGCCCAGGCCTTTGCAGACTGGGAGATGGGAGGAGGAAGCTGCGGGGGAAGAGGGTTGGACCTGGAGGCAGCCGCCCAATCTCCTCGTATCATTTGCCGATTCCATTCAGACATTGCACATTTTGAAAATAGATTTGCTTTTATAATAAAAGCGTAAAATAGATCTGTCTTAAAATAAGTCTGTCTTCTCCCCTTCTTTGGATCAAAAGGCATGGGGTGTGGCCAACACGTGCTAGGAATGGTGTGGAAAGTAAAGGAGGGAAAATGGGCCTGGGCAGGAGTTCTGGGAAAGGATCAGACGTCCAAACAAATATATATATTATGTATATATCTATAATATGTGTAATCTTCATCAAACATATATTAAGGCATGTAAAGCAACATAAAGAGCCAGCTTTATGAAATAAGAGGTGAGAGAGAGGTGGTAGAGGTGCAGACCTTAATCCTTGGTCTTTTACACGTATTTCTAAAAATACCACTTAAAAAAAAAGGCGAGACAGACAAAGAAAGGGGAAAGGCATGGAGGCCCTGAAACAGCCGTTTCTTGTGGATGGAGAAAGGTGTTGGAAAAATGGAGAGGGCCAACCTCACCGGCCAGTCGGCGGGGAAGGAGAAAACAGGTGTGGGGTGCTTGAGCAGTGCTAAAGATAGGAAACGTAGCCAAAGGTCATGTTCAAAAAATCTGCTAAAAGGAAAGTGGAATTCCCCAGCCTGCAATCCCTCCGAAGCACAAGAATATCCTAAGCACCTAGAACAGTGCTGGTACATAAAAGGTGCTCGATAAATATCTGTTGAATGAGTTGCCATCTTTACTTGCATATGAACCAGTCACTGGCCCAGCTGTGAAGGAGTGGAGAACTGGTGGCAGATGAAGTCATTGTTCTCGGGGCCACTGGAGGCCGAAGTCTCTGAGCATCAACTCTGGTAAAGAGAAGGCCTAGGGGCACAGTCTTTTCCAGCTTCACTCTCACCCCTCCCTCCTCCCTGACTACCATCCTCCCCAGATGAAAGGCAAGGAGGAAAAATGAGCTTTGCTTCTGTGTCTCCTCCACTGACCTCCCCAGGTAGACAGATGGTGAAAGAGCCAGGCCAGAAGAGGGAGTCCTTCCCTGCAGCCCCACCTGGTCCTCCTCGAGGATGCCCGGGACGCGGGGTGGGGCCGTAGAATCTAGCCTGCCAGATTAAGGCTGCATTTCCTCTCTGGGGCACTCTCTCAGCTGACCCACAGCACATTCCAGGGGGCAGGGGGACAAGAAAATGTCCCGAACATGGTTAGGAAAGGCCCCAAGGCTAATGACACCCTGCGTGACAGAGGTCTTTCTCTCTGCCCCTGAGCTGAGGAGGGGGAGGCAGACACCAGGCCCAGACCCAGAAAGGGCCATCGTCCCACCTGCTCACCAGCACCAGCATCCCCACACCTTCGTCCCCACGGCTACAGCTGAAGGTCATCCCGTGCTCGCTGGTGGGTCCTCCTGGAGCCAGTGTGTGGGCAGGCCCGTGGACCCGAGGGACGAGGTGCAGGAGCAGGGCCCACAGTCTGGCACTGTACTTGGCACTAAGCTAAGGCTCCATCCTAGGGAAACCCACCCATCCCACATCCCCTTTCCACCTCCGCCTCACCCTTTTACTTGCAAATGAGTCCTGCCGCTTCCCTGTCCTCCCACTTCCCTGCATCTCTCCCTTTCTTTCCTCTCCCCCTTCTCAACCTGTCCTCAGACCCTGCACAGACCTGCGTGCCGCTCTCTACCCACAGCCAGCACTGTGCCCCCCTGGGAGCCAAGGAGCCTCTCCCCAGCTCTTGTCATCTTGTCTTTGGCTCAAGCAGGGTGGTCAGTCTCCACTGGACCCCAAAGGAGCACCCCTAAGCAGAAACGTGTCAAAGCCCCGGGGGGAACTGGGGCAGCGGGTGGGGGGGGTGTCGATGGGGGAAGGTACATAAAAGGTGCCGCCCTTGGTGTCAGGAGGGGCCGGAAGAGGCAGAGCGTCCATCTTCTCCTCAGCCTAGTCCTACCCTGAGAGAGCCCAGAGCGTCTCCCCACCAGGGCATCCTCTTCAGCAGGAAACGTTCCAGTAGGGCCTTCACACCACCAGCCAGGGCCTAGCCCCCTGGGCCACGGGCGCCGGAGGCTGCTGTCTGCCCGCCATCTCGGGCCCCGGCCTGGGGCCGCCATCTGAGGCGCGAGGGCTTCGGGGCCGGGCGTGCGGGCCGTGTGGACACTGAGGTAACATGTGGGCAGCAACCCCGGCCCCCAGCCTGGCTCCCCGCAGCCCTCCCACGGGCGCGCAGGGGCAGGGGGCCAGGCTGGGGAGCTGGGGCCTCAGGGGGCCAAGGCCTTCAGAACGTGGTTCTGTGCAGCTTCCCGGCGTTGGCCTCGGCCAGAGCTTGCACTGAAGAGAAGAGAACCGGGTGAGAAGGGCGCTTCGCCGCCGAGCAGCAGCCCCAGCCCAGCTTCCCAGGAGACGCAAGTCTGCAGAACACCAACCCCGCCCCACGCCCCCAGCCCCAAGAGGGGAGCAAATGAATGGAAGTCCCTGCTCTTTCCCACTTGCCTGATACCAAGCGGCTGTGTGCTAGGGGCAAGGAACGCACACAGCCCTTGGCCATAGTTTCCCATGGTACTGTGATTTACAGCAAGATCTGGGGCTGATCTGGGAGAAGTAAGATCTGGGGGCTTCTGAGGCAGGACTGCTGTGTATCTCCACAGCGGTGGAGAGGCTTGTTGGCGGACAGCGGGATAGGGGAGGCCTCGGCTCTGTCCCTGTCTGCTTCTGGAGAAGCAAAGCCCACGGGCACTGCGGCATCCAAGGGGCGGCCCCGCCAGCCGGCGCTGGCCCAGCACTGCACGGGGACAGGGACTGGGACGGGGATGCTGCGGGCTCAAGCAGATGGAGGGGTGGGGAGAGCGGCATGGGGCTGGGGGGGGGGGGGCGGGGGGGCGGTGCACTGGGGGGTGGGGAGGGAGAAGCAATGCCAGAATGAGGTGTGTGGGGGGGTAGATGGCTCATGGGGGTGAGGGGTGGGGGTCCCACTCCCCGCGGTGGACGAAATACAGTAGAAAAGTTCTTACGTCAGAGCTCAGACCCGCATGGTATGGCTGCTGTCGGCGCCCCGTGGGGATTCAGACGATAGGGGGTTGGCTGGTGGAGTCAGGGAAGCAGGGGAGGTGGGAGGGCTTGGGGTGGCACATTGCACTGGAAACAGAAATGAACAGGGAGGTGAATAGGGGTGGGTGGGGGTGGCAGGGGTGGGGAGGCCGGGCACCCAGAGCAAGCGAGGTCCTTCCCCAGGCGGGGAGCCAGGCAGGATGCAAGCAGAGAGGAGAGCTGAGGCCGACCTGGCCTCGGTCCCAGGCGCCATGGAGGAGCACAGGGTCCCCGAGGAGGAGACCGGGCCACTGCAGGCTCTGCTGAGAACCAGTGGGTCTGTGGGCGAGGCCGGACCCTTTGGGCCAAGGCTCCACTCGCATCCGTACAAGAGCAGGTGACCGCACCTTACACGCGGTGCTCCGCAGGCGATGAGGATGAACAGTGCGGTAAAACTGCACTAACCCAGATCATCAGGCCCCCGCTGGCGACTAGATCCAAGTTATCACCACGTGAATCACCTCCACGCAAACCGAGGCTTCCGGCAGGGTTGAAGCGAGTACCGTGAACTTAGACCAGCTCGCGGTCTCAGAAACATGGCCCCCCGATATCCCTGGGGACCCCCTTTCCATCAATCCAGAAGGGGCAACCTTCGGTCCACCCCTGAACAAATCATTACAAACCTTAAAGTGGTGGCATTTGAATGAATGGATTTTACTCTATTATCATTATGATTCCATGCTGAGAAGAGCAAAGTGGAAGGCCAATGCGGAGGGGGGTCCTATGAGGAGGGATGAGCTCTCTGCAGTCTGCAGACCCTTGGGCACCCTCAGGGCCGCTGTGAGGCAGGAGCCTGGCAGACAGAACATGCTCACTTGGCCTCAGAGGAGAACCAGACCTCAGCCAGGGTCACACTGTTTCCTCCAACAGAAGGATCCTGGCATCTGACTTCTAGTCCCTTGCTCTCCACCCTGCCCTGGACCCCATCACCTCCCTGCGCTCTGTGCAGCTCCCATCACGTGTATACATACAGCCACAGATATACACAAGATGTGGAAACTTTCTCGTGAGCAGGAAGCTGTATCTACCCACACAGAATACATAGTCTGTGCACGGGATCCAACAGCATTCGGCTCTCACTGCACACAACTCAGATATGTGTGTTTGTGCACTTCCAAACCCGTACTCTTGCATGGGGACTGATACACGTGTGACCTCACACTCAAATACATTTGCAAACGCTTTCAGAACACACATTTGTGTGTATGTCTGTATCGCAGACCCAGCGGTTAGTCATTTGGCAACTTCGACTTCTAAAACTGTCAGAAAGTAAAAAACTAAACCAGAGCTGTTTTAAGAAAGCCAAATATCTATTGCAACGTGCATGCGGTGAAGCTCTTACAATTATTCACAGACCGGCTCCCTGGAGTCCAGTTACTCTTATTTCTACCCACTTCTGAGGAGCTGACCTGCTGGGGGTCTACCCCATGGGAGATCAGAAGCAGGGAAGTTAGGGGAGAGAGAGGACTTGGGAGGCCCACTGACAGCTAGAAGAAGGCACAATTGGGGCATAAAAGTCCTTTGTAAAAAGCAGATATAATACCTTTGAAAGCATTACGATCTGGGAGCTACGGTCTATACCAACTAGAGCCCTGGAGGGCACCCCTTCAACGGATCAGGAAAAGAAGGATATTTATAATGATACTAAATGAACAAGAACAAGAAAGATGAATTATGTTAAATAGAACTTCTTTATGAAGGCAGAAATATATATTAGGAATATATAATATTCTAAATATTCTAAATATATATTAGGAATATATATATATTATTCTAAATATATATTAGGAATATATCCATTGAGGGGCGCCTGGGTGGCTCAGTCAGTTAAGCGTCTGCCTTCAGCTCAGGTCATGATCCTGGGGTCCTGGGATCGAGCCCCGCATCGGGCTCCCTGCTCAGCGGGGAACCTGCCTTTCCCTCTTCCTTTGCCCCTCCCCCTGTTCATGCTCTCTCTCTCTTCTCTCAAATAAATAAATACAATCCTAAAAAAAAGGAAATAGTTGAAGTTCACATATATAGTAGCTATGTATCGGACAGGTGCGGTATTAAAATCGTGTGTCCTGGGGCGCCTGGGTGGCTCAGTCGTTGGGCGTCTGCCTTCGGCTCAGGTCATGATCAAGGGGTCCTGGGATCGAGCCCCGCATCGGGCTCCCTGCTCTGCGGGAAGCCTGCTTCTCCCTCTCCCACTCCCCCTGCTTGTGTTCCCTCTCTCGCTGTGTCTCTCTGTCATTAAATAAATAAAATCAAAATTAAAAAAAATAAAATAAAATAAAATAAAATAAAATCGTGTGTCCGCAAGTACCACATCTGCATGCATAACTCATCAGTCACACCTGCTCTCCCATCCTGCACCTTCATGAGACCTGCTCTCACCCACCCTGCACAGATACATATTTACAAATATTGCAGTGTGTACATGGTGCCCAACATACACACAAATGTGTTTCATCACTCCCCAGACTGCAGAACCAGCCAGTCACATAAATCCGTGCATTCATCAACACTACCTCCATCCTTACACTGCACACTGGCATACACATATATAAGCCCCAACAGCTTCCTAAATACCACCCGTACTCATAAATCGTGGTCTCCACACAGTGTCCGTAGACATTTTGCAGACATATACACACATAGTTCTGTATTTGCACTCACACATTCCCTCCACCCACGCACTTGAATACACACAAATGCACGTGCCTCTACAAACATCCCCCAACACAGACGCTGCACACGACCTCACGTCTTCCCATATACCTCCTGCTTGAGTCTGCACGCTCTGGGTCTACCGACAAGCATTCCTGAGCACGCCATCCACGCCACACACCCACCCTCGGGCACGGCCTCTCCACCCTGTGCACGCCGTGCTGTCACGAGGGCCCGTGCCCGGCACCCCCAGACGCACAGTCCCAGGCTTGAACCTATGCCCACGCACGGTGCTCACGGTCCCTGGCAGAGCTGCAGCTCTGGGAATCTGGGCCAGAGGCCAAGGGGCAGTGGGGACCGTGGGCTAAGTCTGAGGTCTGGCCCTGCTATGCCATTTTTTAAATAGTTGGGGTTTTGGCAAAAGCAAAGTGACAGTTTGCTTTCAACGCATAGACCATGAAATGTAAGCTGGTGTGTATCGAGAGGGAAATCTGAGAGGCCAGGACGGGTTTTGTTTTCATGGACCCTTTGGCTGGGAAATGACAGTAGAGAGAGCCAGGGGCTGGGGCGAGGACAGAGGGAAGTTTTAAAAACAGTGTTGTGTGCGCTAACCCTTGAAACAGGAAGTTGCCTTTTGCCCAGAGCACGAGGAATTTGATCCTTGGAAGATTCGAGTTCATTTTACAGCTAAACTACAGAGAGGTGGGCTAGAGGCCTCTGTGCAGCCAAACTGGTTCTGCTGCCTTTGGCTGCAGGATGGGACTGTCTGAAGCCCATCCCTTCTCTTGTCCTCAACTCCAGCCCAACCGACCGCCTCTCTCTGAAATACCCCCAGCAGTCTTCCCTGGCCGCCCATTTAATGTCCATTCGAACTTAACCGCCAGTAGGTTCTTCCTTAAGGCGTAAATTCCCTTTGTTGTAGCCTGAAACCCTCTGGTTTCTAAAAATATCCGTATTTCAAATAGTGAGAAAAACCACACACAGACCCTACTTCCACTCCAGCTGTTGCTAGGTCAGCGAGTCCTACAGCTGTTAGCAGCGCCACCACGCCCACATCGGGCCAGCATTTATTGAGCACTTACTAAGTGCCAGGCACTGTGCTAGGCGCTTAGCATGTATTGTTGCCATTCCTCACACCACCAGGCAGGTATTTTGATTTGAATTTTACAGATGAGGCAATGGAGTCCCCGAAAGCCAGAATTCAAACCCCTCTTGATCACCGACACGAAATGCCACCCCTTCCGCCGGGCTCCTGGCCGTAGTCCCGATCTGCTCGTTGCCGGCCCCTCGCCCAGGCTGCTCTGTGGGCCAGCACACCTGTCTCTCCGCCTCCTCCTCTAGCAAAGTCCGTGCAAACCTGGCATCCTTCCTGGGCATCCCTCTGGACTGGACTTCAGAGCTCTCCCTCTCCCTCTCTGCCCTAACCACCTTTTGTCCTGAGGAGGACGACGTAGTCCGCCCCCTGGCTGGCTTCATGACGTAGGCACTGTCTTTCCTCTATCCTTCACCCTCCCCTTAAGAGAGTCTCTTCCGTTTCTTCCTGATTCCAGTCTCACCTTCCCTGGGGCGAGACATCTCAGGCTGACTTCAACCTCACGGTGACTGCTCGGGACCCTCTAGCTTTTTTATCAGCGTGAAGTCCGTTCCTCATGCTCATCTTTTCTTAGCGGAAAAGTGGGTTTGGGTCACCAGGCAGGGTGGTGACTGCATCGCCCTCAACTCTGGCTACCTGCCCCACCTTCACCTTCCTATCCGCACGCAGCCAGAATGGGAAGTGAGAGGGTGCCCTGCAGTGCCTGGCCCCACTCCACGACTGGTAATACTTTTATCCTTCCCAACCAAGCTCAGGGATCGCCTTTTTGCCGTGCCTTTCCTTAAGCTGCCCAGGGAGGGTGGTGCCCTGGCTGCCTGCATGGCCTCTGGCCATTCCTCCATTCCTCCATAGAGCGGCTATAGGAGGGTCATCCCAGCTCTGAGCTCCCGGATGCAACTCGGGCCTGTCTGCACCCCGCTGAGCCTAGCACAGTACCTGGTGCTCAGTAAGTGCTCATCCTGACCTTGAGGAAAGTCTCCCTGGCCCTGTACCTCTCTGTCCCTAGCCCCGTCGCAGCACTGAGCTTCCTCCCCTGCACCTGGTCAGCCAGTCTCCCTGGAGGAGCGAGGCCCGGCCCCTCTCACCAGACAGCATGCGGCCCCTGCGGGAGGCCTCGGTCGCCAGGGCACAGGAGATTTCAATCCGCTTCTCCTGCTCCTGCAGCTGGCTCTCTGAGTCCTGGGGCACGTCCACAAGGTCCCCCTCGCCGATGGGCACCACGTTCTGCATACTGAAGAGGCACAGACACACAGACATGGAGTGGGGGGACAGGATGGTCCAATTGGCTTGGGGGGGGCCTGTGGACTGAGGTTGGCAGGGTGGCCAGAGGCCTGTGAGTGGGCAGGCTCTGGTTCCCAGCAAGGCTGTCCCCAGGGGGGAGTGGGACCCTGGCAACACACATTTTGGGATCCCCTACTGCAATGTCTTAAAATGAATGAGAAGGTTCAAGTGACCATTTAGGGCAGCCTTGATGAGGAAGAGAAGTCACCAGAGGGCAACCCCTCAGTTTGTCTTGATGACAGCATGCGCCTGCACGCAGCAGGTCTTTTTGGCACGCAGTGACAGCATCCCTGCCCTGGCCGCAGGGCTGGGCCTGGTCCGCTGCCTTGAGCCACTGCCTCCGTCTGCCCTCCGCTGGGGAGCCTTAGGGCTCCCACTGGCATGGGTCGGGGTGCTGGATTCAGGGGCACTGGTGCCCCACGTGCCAGGGTGGGCAGAGGATGTTGAGGTTCACCCAGGCACATTACCTGGACTTGGCAATGAGTGTCTTGATCCTCTCCACCTTCTTCTGCTTCTCCTTCAACTCCTCGGGGCTCAGGGGAGTATCAGGCTCCAGGTCAATGTACCGTTCGGGGATGAGGACTTTGTCTGGTGTGGAGAGCTGGGGAGGGACCTAGGTCACCACCTCCATTCCATCCCCTCCCCACGTCCCCCCCCAGGCTTTCTCCCCCTCTGCCCTCCTGGACTTCACTCACTTCCTTACTGATGTCCACATCATAGTGCTGGGGCTCCAGTTCCATTTTGCGAAGCCGGGCAATTTCTTCCCTTGGCGTCTCGTAGGCCTGCCCACCAGGCTCCTCTGCCCGCAGGGCTGCCTCCAGGTTGGAGATGTCCACCTCGTGGATGCTACGGTGACGGCGCACCTAGGGGACAGCAGCACCGTGACCACACAGGGACTCTGTCCCCTGCCACCCGTGCCTCCAGGCAGCCCTGAGCAGGCGCGTGTCCTCACTGTCCCTGCTCATCACGCCCAATCTGGCCGCCACCCCACCGTTCCCACTGCGGGACAGCTATCCTCCTTCCATGCTGCTTGTCCAAAGCCTGCCCCCCCCCCCCCAGAGGACAAATCTCATCAATATGTCTCATCGGGACTCATTACTTCCCATCTGGCTGTACCCTGTGTTCACAGTCTGTGCCATATATGTTAGGCAGTTGGACTAGTGTGTCCTACATTGATCTTTAGTGGATTCCTATTATAGAAGCTCCAATCCACCAAGGAGAGTGTAAGCTGTTTGAGGGTAGGACTTTTTTTTTTTTTTTTTTTTTAAAGATTTTATTTATTTATTTGAGACAGAGAGAATGAGAGAGAGCACATGAGAGGGAGGAGGGTCAGAGGGAGAAGCAGGCTCCCTGCCGAGCAGGGAGCCCGATGCGGGACTCGATCCAGGGACTCCAGGATCATGACCTGAGCCGAAGGCAGTCGCTTAACCAACTGAGCCACTCAGGCGCCCGAGGGTAGGACTTTTGATCATAATTTTCCTGTATTTCCGAAATGTGGTGGAAAGAAAAATTAGGCAGATGCCTGGGGCTACTCCCAGCTCCATACTCGATAGCCATGTGGTCCAAGAATCCTTAATTTCTCCTGACTGTGTTTCCCTATCTCTAAGACAGGGGTGGTAATTCCTAAGCTGGCATTGCTGAAAGATCTAAACAAAATAATGTGAGATTCGAGAACTGCACGGTGCCATGCACCAGTGTGCTATTACGATTACCTTCGGTAGACCCGGCCCAGTGCTAAATACACAGAAAATGCTCTAGAAACGTGTAAGTGATGGCTATCCCTGGGTGCTGAATTTTGCACCATTCTCTATTAAATGAATTTCGTATAATTCTTTTCACCTAAAATCATCAATACATTCCTTTTTGTGAGTTATTTTTCCTTAAACACATGCAAGGAACGCTTGCTGCAGTATATCTTCGGCCTAGTGGGGAGAGACCCCCCGTCCCCGTTCTCCCAGGTGCCCAGCTTGGGTCTTCCCAGCCCCTCTCTCAATACCCCCCACACAGCTGCCCCTGTCCAGGCTGGTCACGGGCTGGGGGTGGCTGGGAGGACTTTACCACTTTGTAGGCAGGCCGGGGAGCAGGGTCAGGGGCAGGACTGGCCGGGAGCTGCAGGCTCTTCCTCTTCTCTTTCATAGAGCCGCTCTGATGTCTCCGCATGCGGTCAATCTGCTCCTCCACGCTCATCTTGACCTTGCCCTCGCCAGGGAACACAGCACTCTTGGGGCGCTCCTGCTACAGCAGAAGAAGAGGGCTCTGATGGGTGTGCATCCCCCACTTCCAGCTTCCTCATCTGCCCTAATGCCTTCAGTGTCCTTTCTCTGGGAAGCCTGTCTGTAGTGGGTTAAAGAAGGGCCCCTAAAACATATGTGCACGTCCTAACCCCGTTGGACCTGTGAATGTGACCTGATGTGGAAAGAGGGTCTTTGCAGATGTGATTAAGGTAAGGACCTCAAGAAGAGATCATCGGGAATTGGAGTGGACCCTGAATCCAATCTTAGGTATCTTTATAGGAGACAGAACAGAAGAAGACACAGAGTAGAAGGCGGATGCAGATACTGGAGTGTTGTGTCTATGAGCCAAGGAACACCAGAGATGGCCAGCAACACCAGAAGCTAGGAGAGAGGCATGGGACAGATGCTCCCTCAGAGCCTCCTGAGGAACCAACCCTGCTGACACCTCAATTTTGCACTTCCGGCCTCCACAACTGTGAGAGAATAAACTTCCTGTTGTTTTTAAGCCCCCAAGTTTGGGGGGCTTTGTTAATTTCCCAGCAGCCCCAGGAAATGAGTCTACTGCCTTAGGTCAGCACATTTGACTCTGATCGCTGATTTTTGCTGGATTTGTAGTTCATCGCTGGCACATTATAATAATTTTGTGAAGGGCACCTGGGGGGTGGCTCAGGCAGTGAAGCGTCTGCCTTCAGCTTTGGTCATGATCCCAGGGTCCTGGGAGCCTGCATCGGGCTCCCTGCTCAGCAGGAGAGTCTGCTTCTCCCTCTCCCTCTGCACCCCACCCCCCCGCCCATGCTCTCTCTCTCAAATTAAGAAATAAAATCTTAAAAAAAAATAATTTTGCTATTCTTCTTTCTTGCTTTTTTTTTTTTTAAGATTTTTATTTATTTATTTGACAGAGAGAGAGTGAGCGAGAGAGGGAACACAAGCAGGGGGAGTGGCAGAGGGAGAAGCAGGCAGGGGAGAAGCCCCAATGCGGGGCTCGATCCCAGGACCCTGGGATCATGACCTGAGCCGAAGGCAGACGCTTAACGACTAAGCCACCCAGACGCCCCTCTTCTATCTTTCTTATGTGTATCTTCCTTGTCCCTTGATATGTCTACCTGATGGAAGACTTCTCCAGTGGGGCTGTTGCCCTCCTCCCACTTGTCCTGCCTTCCTCCTCCCGCCCTGGGTTTCTTGAATGGTGGACAGATGGGTGGACACACATAGGCCCCTGGGCCCCCAGCGCAGCTCAGGCCCATCCGGGCCTCTGCGCCCACAGGCTGTACTCACCCGGGAGGACAGTCCATTGGTGAGCCCATTGGTACTCCTCCTCACCACCCTTGATGGAGTTAGCGCTTCATCAGCGGGCGACTTTGTCCGAGGGGGCACAATGCCAACTGTAGGGAGACAGAACAGCCAGTAGGCCTTGTGGAGAGCAGGAGGGCAGAGAGTCGGGGAGCCTGCTTCTTTGAGGAGGCTCAGTCCCATCTGTGGCACAGATGAAAGGCCCAGGATGGGTGGGTACTCGCTCTCTTTGGCTGTGAAGGAGCACCTCTCCGGGCTCCTCTCTGACCCGTGGCCTTCCTTCTAGGGGAGGATGGGACAGGAAGTACCTTTGTTGAGAGCTGCCTGCTTCTCTGCCTCCACCTCTTGCCTGGTGGGCACAAGGCTGGTGTCTCTAGCAGTATCCAGGGGTGATGTCTGGTGGGGGTCTTTCTTGCTCTGCTCATGGCTTGCCTTGGGCTGGGGGAAAAAAGGAGAAGACGGTCCATGCTGTAGGGACTGCTGGGAACTTGGCCCTCGGGGATGTTTCTTTGCTTTGCAATGGGTGGAGCACAAACCCTTGAAAACATAGGACGAGGAGACTCTAAGTGTGTCAGCTGGGCAGTGGGCAGGGACGCCATGGAGCCTCCCACCCATGCCACCTTAAGGCTGGCCAATGCCAGCTCATCTTGTGAGGGCTCAGGGCTTCCAGGAGGCCCTCAGCCGAGGCCCAGCAGAGAGGCCCCTCAACCTGACCAGGCCTCTTGGTGAGCGCCAAGAAGCACAGACTTGCTGTGAGCCAGAGAGGAGGAAGGCTGGAGGAGGGGGGCGCTACAAGGCTGAGGATCTCTGAGGATTCTGTCGATCTCACCCAAAACTTGAGCCAGAGAACCAGGTGGGCTTTGGTACCAAGATTCTGGGGGACAGAAATGTGCACTTAGCTTGAGGGCTTGCAGAATCATGAGACTAAAAGGGGCCTCAGACAGCATCGGCAACCCCCCCAACTCCCGTGGTGCAGCCAAAGAGTCTAAGTCTTCATGAGGGACACACAGAAAGACTGAGCCAGAGGCCAGAAGCACCAGCTGGAGTCCAGTGAGAGAGCATGGGTAAGGCCCTTCGCCTCCCCTCGTCTGGAAAGCGGAGGTGACGCTGCCTCTCTGCCCCGCTCACCGGCAGCCCCTCAGGGTTGTGCTTATCCCAGCAGCCGAGCCAGGATGAAAAGATGACTCCTGATTTTAGACACAGGACTACTCACCATGCAACCTCTTCCCAGCCTAACTGTACCTCTCACCTGGCGAGAGAGGCTGGGGAGCCAGAACAGGGCAGCTTACACCCCAGGGCCGATGGGACCCAAGAGGACACACAAGGCAGAGAAACAGACAGCATGGAAGGACTGGGGTCTGAGGCGGGCAGGAAGGGACTGGAATGGCACTCGTCGCTGCGGGTCCCTCGATTTCCCTTGCCTGCTCGTGCTGGTAGGAGGTGGGGCACACCACCACTCACAGCCAGGGGCTGCCCAGAAGCCCGGGCATGGGGTGGGGCGACACTCATTTTCCCTCTGTCCACAGAAGGCAGAAAGGGGAAAGCATTCTCTGCCATCCCTTTCCTTATCCTAGAGTCTGACCAGGCAGCGGTGGGCAAATTAATATTGCAACGGGGGAAAAAGGGCTCCATGTCCTGCCTGGTCCCCTCGCCTGACCCTTTGCCCCGCTCCCTCCGCCCCTGCCCTCCAGGACCCAAGGGTGCTGGGTACCTGACCCCTGGCTGGCTCGCCACTGCGGTGCCAGGAAGGGGAGCTGGGGTATGGCCAGAAGCGGCTCTCGCTAGGGAGTGGCGGCACGTTTGGAGGAGACTCCAGGGGGACGTAGGCTTTGGGGAGGGGGGGCCGCGGTGGGCCGGGCTCCTGAGGCAGAGAGAAGCCAGAGCATTAGGAGGAAGGAGACCAGCCACTGTGAGAGCAGAAGAAAAGAGCATTAGCAGGGGACAGACGACATCGTGGGGACCTGGGGTGGGCCCCTGGACCCCCAAACTCCCACCCGCAGCCTGGAGGGAGCTCCAGCTCCGGAGTGAACTCTCAGCCTAGCTTCAGGGCTCTTTTTGGCAGAGCCCCGACCTGTGCACCACTCCCCACTCTTCCCCAATTTTTCTCCACAGCTCTCTGCTCATTGGCCTCACCATCACCCTGGGCACATCTGCACCCCTGTGTCTTTGCTTCTGCCCCCTCTCCTGTCTGTGATGCTTCTTGTTCCTCTATCTGTCCCAATGAAAGTTCCACCTTCTCCTTGGAACACCAGGGCATTTACGGTCCACACTGAGACACACACTGCCAAGTTCCAGAGGCTGGCTGCTTTCTATAAATTGGTCTTGGTCCCCCCTGGACACTGGACTCCCCGGGAGAAGGGCCTTGGGCATGCGCATATATGTTTCTGAGAGGGCCTCACCCCATCCCTCACCCCATGTAGAGCCCCAGTAAACACCTGCTGATTGACCAGCTAGGAAACTGCTCCCCATGCCTACCCTCAACCCTCTCACATGCTGGAACAGTCCTGGATTTAAATTCCTACTAAGTGTTGGGTATCTTTGTTAACTGTCCTGGAGTTCAGGAAGAGACTTCCCCAGAAGGAGGCTAAAGATGACAAATGCCGATGAGAGCAAGTAAAGGAAAAATCTGGAAGGAAGTTCACCAGACTGGGTGTAAGAATGACCACCTTAGACAGAAAGCCAAAGCACTAGGCCTGGAGGCCTCTGGGGCAGAGATGGACACAGAGTCTGTGTCCTTCAGGCCAACGAGGACCTGGTCCTCCCTCCCTCCCCCACCTACCTTCTACTCCATTTTCTCAGCTTACCTCACTGGACCCGGGCTTGGTGGGGGACCCCTGCGAGCCGGACACCAGTGAGAAGGGGCTTAGGGGGCTGGTGAGGCTTGTGGAGCTGAGAGGGCTGGCGGGGCTGTTGGAGCTGTAGGTGGCCGTGGGGCCAAGTCCTCCTGGGGGCAAGCAGAGAGGAGAGATGAGGGATGGATGGGCTAGGGGTGGGCTCCGTAGGTGGAGGAGGCAGGGGAGGACTCAGGGACTTGGGAGGGAGGTTTCAGGGCCACCCGGGCCTGATGGAGGGACTTATTCCAGAGGTTGGGATGCAGGCTGGCCGTGGAGAAGCATGCTGGGCAGGGGCTAGATGATGGATGGAAAGAACACTGTTGCCTCTGAGACATTAAAGAAAGCCAGCCCAAAGTCCCAGGGCTTCAGATCACCACCCGGCCCATGGGCTTGGGTGGGGGTGGGGGTGGAGAGGCACAGGAGCTCTTTGACCCTTTCTGGGGAGGAATCTAGACTATCAGGGTCAACAACATCTCTGAGTGGCCCACCTGGTCTGTTCTGGGAGGAGGGGGAGGACAAAGGGAGCCCTACCCACCATCCTAGGGGAAGATCCCAGAGGCCCGAGAAGGCCCTGACTAGCTCTGCGCACAGTGTGAGGGCCTGGAGCGCGATGAGTATGACAGATGTGGGGTGGATGCCAGAGGCCCCAGAGCATTTCTGGTGAGCCTTTCAGGAGGCTGGTGGAGAAGGTACCCACCTCTGTGCTTGGCCGTGTCTGTGCCCCGGGATGGGTTATTCTTCCTCAGCCCCTCCAGCACGTCCTGGATCCTCCAGATCTCCTTCTGGATTTGCCGGTTGAGCACCTCATTCTGAAACCGCCCAAGAGCGGGTCAAGGGAAGTGGCTGTGAGGAGTGCCCCAGCCTCCCCCCCACGCCCGCATCCCTTCGGGCCAGCAGGAGGCAGGAGCCTTGCACGCGTGCACACGCTCACACATCCCTTCCGCACATTCATCCTCCCCGTGGGAAGCCTCTTCCTCTTCAGCTTCTACGAAAGGGAACTTGGGAATTGCCAGAGGAGAGGGACCCGTCATCACAGTTAAGAGCCCCTTTAGGTGAACATGCAGCCTCAGCTTCCCCGGGGAGATCAGGCTGGTCTTGGAGCAAATGCCCCTCTAGGTGGACCCTTGATGGTAGCCTGTTGTCAAGGGCCAGGGTTTCCAATTGACTAGTGTTCTTTCCATCTCAACGGTCCTTTTGTAATACCGACACCCAATGTCTGCCTAAGTATTCATGAATTATATTCAGTTAGAGTTCGCACTCTTTGAAAAATCATAGCTACCACTTCTTTAGCACCCCATGCCCCTCCACCCCACGTGCCAGGCACGGCGCTAGGGGGTCTGCAAACACTAACTCCTTTCAGCTGCTGGAGAACTCTGTGCGGCACCGGCCGCAGGTGTCCCAACTTTGGAGATGAAGAGACTTGTGCCCAAGACCCTCTGTTAGTAAGCAGTGTGACCGCCATCTGAGCCTGGGTTTATTTGTCTCAAGAGCTGGTGCCCTTGACCAGGATGCTTTCCTACCTCCTAAAATGTTCATGTTGAAAGTCAGGCTTGCCCACAGGACATGCAAGCATTCGGGTGCTCTGGACCAGGAGGGCCTTCACCTCCGCCTCCCTAACCAGCTGCAGTGTGGGGTGGTGAGTTCCGTCACCCGAAGGAAACTAGGGGAAGTCGGGGGCGCGAACTGCATCAGAGAGACAGAGTTTGCAAAGCTAGCTAGAGAAGAGGCAGAGCCCGGGTAGAGAAGCTCGAGGAAGGAAAAGAACAGGAACTCCCCAAGGTCAATACATGCAGCTTCCTGCCTCCAAGCAGAGTGTTTCTAACCCGTCCTGGGAGCGAAGCCTCTTTCCTATCTTAAAGGGCCTGAGTGGCTGGCTCCCACACAGCCTACTCCTTCGGAGGTCACGAGAGACAGCTGCACATATGCCCACATCTCCCCCGCATGTGGATCTCTATCTACATCCAGATCTACATCTGTATCTGTATCGACGTGTTAAAGCCTTCCAGTCATAAAGTATCTTCTGTCTAACCTAGCGCACTTGTGTTTCCGCTTTACTCCTCCCTCACGATCTGCTGGAACTAAAAAAGATCCCACATGGTCTTTATCCCAAAAGCATCTATTTTAAGTGGATGTGAACCTTGTCTTTTGTCTCAGGATCGACTCCCTGTCTCAAGTCTCTGAGATCTCGAAAGCAAGAAAGGAAGCCACTTTGGTCTGTTTTGGCCCAAAGGAGAAGGGGGGGCACACTGACCCCCTCCTGCCCAGGCCCCTCTTCACCTGGACGTCCAAATTGAGCTGCTCCCAGAGGTCATCGTGCAGGGCAGACACCTCTGACTCAAGGCTCTCATACTCTATGGTGCTGTTCGTCAGGGCCTGCAATGGAGGGGGGGGGTGTTTTACTGAGAAAGTGGCCATTGCCAAAGCCTTCCTCCCCAGCCCCCCCACAGGGCCCGGGGCAAGGGCAGCTGGGGTCTGGCAGGGCTCAGAGGAGAGCACAGAGGGACCGGAGGAGAGGGCCCAGGGTTGAGACATTCTGATGACAGCCCAACAGTGGCCCATCCGACTGCAGGCCAGAAAATAGAGAAACCAGAATCCGCTCCAGGTGTGGGGGTATGCCAAAAGGGGATCATACCATGCCCACCCCCTCCTGGTGTCCTCAGACTGGGTAACCCAAAGTGGAGGGCAAAAAGAGAGGAAACCCAGAGGTGTCCACTCCCTGGGGGTTAGAGACCTTCCACCCTTCTGGCCCATGTTTTCCGGACCTTTTGCTGCGGCACCCCAGAACTCCTGTCCAGGCAGTCGGTCCTGCAGGGTCTGCCCTGTGCCCATGGCAAATGACCGGGCCAGCAGCCCTGCGCGGGGGTCCTGGTTCTCCAGGGGAGAGGACAGAGGAAAGCAGCAAAGCTGTGAAAGCAGCCGACGAGATCAGGAGCCCTCGACCTCACCCTGCCCTGAATGAATCCCAGGGCAGGAACAGTTTGTGGAAAAAGAAGCCCGTTTCCTTGCAGGAGACTCTATGGAGTGAGTGGGCCGGCATGCTCGCTGCCTATCAGCAAGGCACCACTTTTTCTTTTTTTTTTTTAAGATTTTATTTATTTGAGAGAGAATGAGTGAGAGAGAGAGAGCACGAGAGGGGGGAGAGTCAGAGAGAGAAACAGATTCCCCGCTGAGCGGGGACCCCGACACGGAGCTCGATCCCAGGACCCTGGGATCATGACCTGAGCAGAAGGCAGATGCTTAACCAACTGAGCCACCCAGGCGCCCCAGCAAGGCACTATTAAGGTCTTTCGTTTCTGCCCCTTCTGGCCAAGGGCAGGCTCTTGGCCACCGAGGAGAGTCGGGAAGGAGTGAGCACAGCCTGGGAGGGGAGGCCCTCCTGTGCTGGTGCTGACGTGTGGACCAGGGATGCGGGGAGAGCAGTACCGTGGTCGCCTGCGACAGCTCCACGCGGATATTGATGAGCTGGTTCTGTAGAGACTCTTTCTTGTGCAGCAGCTTCTCCGGGTAGGCAGGCTGGTTTCCAAACATCTCCAGCTCCTGGTGGGTCCCCATCAAGGCACTTTCCAGGCTCTCCTGAAAGAAGGCAGGGGAATGGCCATCAGCAGCCCTGATGATTCCTCTCTGGGACTCTAAGCAGCAGGGGCCCGAGCCCCAGCAGTTCCAGTTAAGGGCAGGACAGAAGTTTAAGACAAGGCTTTGGCAGCTTAGCGGGGAGACAGCACCCCACACCTGTCCAAGCCAGCCTCCCCACATGCCCCCAACTCCAGGCCACCCCCCGGCTCTCACCTTCTCAGCTCGGAGCTGCTGTACCAGCCGGTCCTGCTCCCTCACCACCTTGTTCTGCTCACACAATTTGCCCAGCAGCTTCTGGGGGCCCGAGGGGGTAGGGGGAAGGGAGGGAGAGAGAAGGGGGTGAAGGACATGGTTTGATGGAGACCTGGGAAATGGGTCGGAAGGGCCTGGCCTCTGGATGCTGCCTCCTTTCCCCTGCAGAGGAACCCTAAGCCTTCTTCAACTTGACCTTGGAGGCTCCTGGGAACAGGAAATGGTCTTCACCTCAGGAGACTCCCCAAGGACCTACTGGGAGGGGAGATGTGCTTATTCTCTGAGGAAGTGAGTCAGCTGTAGAGGGGAGTTCAATGTTAAGCTCCTGCATCCCCCTCCTCCTGGGGGTTCCAATTCCAGAAGGGTTGAGGAGATAATGTGGCCTGGCCTCCCAGGCCTCCCAGAGGGGCATGGACTGGGGGAGTACACAGGGTGCCTGAACCAGCAGTCTTAGGAAAACCAGTGAACCATGTAAACTGGTTCCCCAGGCTCACAGGACTCTGTTCTCCCCTCCTCCCAGGGTCTCAGGATGGCTGACGCTGGGATCCTCCTGAGGTCTGGCCCTTGCCTGGATGAAAACTCTCCCAGGCCTACTGGGCAGATCCACTACCCAGGCAAGACCAGTGATGATGGGGAGCAGGCAGGGTAGGCCACGCTTCTCTTCTGGAAAGACTTAGCCTGTCCAATATCCACACCTTTATTCATGCCATTCCTCAAATACCCCCTTGACTCTTTTCTACTGGCCACATCTTGTCTTCTGGGCCTTTCAACTTCCAGGCCCAACTCACCTGTTACCTGCTTTGTCCCTGACCCACTGGCCCACATGGTCTCACTGTCCTGCCCTCCTGCAGAACCCACTGTCCATCCCATTTGGCGCAGGAATCATATGCTGTCACCCGCTGCTACCTGGCATCTCCCACTACCCTGGAGCTCCCTGAGGCCAGGGGCAGGGCCATGTGCTTCTCTCTAGCGGCCTAGGGGCGACTGCTAACGTGGGCACAGCGTAGCCTGGCCGATGCACCTCCTAACGAAGTCCGTGTTCCTGTAATGAGCAGATCCCACTGCTGGAGACAAGAGGGCCTAGGGCTCCGTGGAGAAACACACACGGCCAGCACGGGGCAGTGCGGGGGGGAAGGGGGAAGAACGAGAAAAGAAGGGGGATGAGGAAGGGGCAGGCAGAATGTTGTCTTTGTGCTGAGAGAGGACATGGGTCAAAGGCATGAAGAGCCACCAGAAGGACAGAGATGAACGGAGGAAAAGCCCCAGCGGAGGAGAGCGAAGATGAGGACGACAACGGGAGGGACTGGAGAGGACAGGGGAGCAGGAGAGGTGCTCTTACATCTGTGTCTTGCTCGTTTAACTTGTAGGTGTGGAGACCGTCCCGGAATACTTCTGGGTACGGAGGGACCTGCAGGAACACGAGGCTGGTTACAGCAGCAGGGGACAGGTAGGGAGCGTGGGGATGGGAAAGCAGACAGCCCTTGCTCCGTTCTTGTCAGGGACCATGGTCCATCAGCTCTGGTAGCTTCCATTTCGGGAACCCGAGCTAATTCTTTGTCTCTGGCTGGGAAGCCTGGCGTAGCCCCGTCTAGGTTCTTCCCTATTGTTTAGGCTGATTTCTGGAGACAGTGATGTTGCTCAGCTCTGACTCAGGATCTCCTCTCTCCCCGCCAACCTCTAGATCTCCTGTGGAGAGGGACTCCGGAGATGTAGAGATCCCGGATGGCTTATTGGGAACAACCCTGAGAACAGCAGTTAACCCATGGCTGTTTCTGAGGATGAGACATGGGAAAATGGAATGAGCCCCGAAAACATCTGAGAATGATTATCTTGGTAGATTGCACACCAGTCACGGGGCGGGGTTGCGGGGGTGTGCTTAACCAGGAGTACATCTGGGTCCAGCAAATGCTGCCCAGCCTTGGTGCTACATCCGGTGACCACAGCATATTCCACACCACTGGGGCATCGGATGGTTCCATATCACACCCCTTGTGCCCTGAACCCCGAAGATGTTTGTGAAGAAGATACCCAACATGAAACAGAAGTCCTGGACTTGAGAAAGCAGATTTGCGATCGCTGGCATGGTATGGGAGTCGGTGCTGGTTATATTGATGGTTTGAGAAATGGGCTTTGGATTCACCCATGAACATGAAGAATGGAGGAGACACAGTGGAATTAGAGGAGCGGGACGAGGCGGGGCCCAGCAGATGAGGCCTGGTGGATGAGTGGGTAGGGCAGAGCAAACCCCAGCCCAAATGGCTTGACTAGACCATGCACAAGCAGCTGAGATGGTGCTGATGGGGACCATGCTGCCAGGCGGAGGTCTTACTTGCATGAAGATCTGGGCCCTGGGGGAGGAGCTCTCCACCATGCGGTTCACCATACTGATAAGAGTCTCGCTCTCACTCATCTGCAGCAGAGGAAGGAACGGACGATTCAAACTCAGACCCCCATGGAGCTATCTCCCCATTTCCCTCCTGGGCTCACTTCCCCAGAAACAGGAAAGGGCAGCTCGTCCTGGGGTCTCCAGCTCCCTCTGCTTGCCTTTACCTGTCGCTCACCCCTTGTGAGCTCCGTCCCAGGACCAGCACTGAAGGTCCCCCGAGGAAAGGTCACATAAGGGGGGCTGGGGGCTGCTGTGCCCTTGCTCGCTGGCCCTGAAGAGACCCCTTGCCCAGTGACACTCTCCCCAGGGTGCCTGAGAGGTGCGGCAGGTCTCATCCTCACTGGCCAAGGTCAACTCCCTGCCCCACCTCTTTTCCTCACACTGCTTTGGTCAAAGACCACACCGGCAGGTAGGAAAATGCTTCTCCCCAAATTTGAACTAAATCAAACAGCTGAGAAAGAAACCATGGGGCTGCTCTTTGGATGGGCCTTCACAAAGAGGCACAGCTCTCTCTCCCCGACCCCGGCCCACCTCTTGGCTCTAGAGTAGAAAGGATTGCTAAACACGGTTTCCAGAGCTGGGCTGGTAGCATCCATGCCGATCTTGGATGACGCTAGGGAGCAAATAAGGAGGCCAAAACAAGCAAGCCGCGTTAAAGGGACAGCAGATACTCGAACACTGTTCTCTGACATGTAATCTTTGTGTTTCAAGAATCATTAGGAACACGGAGGGGGAAAGAGAGAGATGAAGAAGGGCAGGGGAGAGGGGGGAGAGGGGGTGAGGGAGGGAGGGAAGACAAGCCAAGCAAATCAACTAGAGACGCCATCATTTCCGCCCCCTGGTTCCAGTTTAACGGCATCAAAGAGTGAAAACATTAGGGCGTGTCCTTGGCTATGTCCCTTTAACTCATGACCTACAGGACAAGGTAGCAGAAGACAGAGGGAAGTCGTGTGGGAAAAGCTTTTTGGGGAGAGGAGGTGAGTGAGGGAAGGGACAGAGCCACGTTAGGGCAGAGTTTCTGGGGTCACGGTTCAGGAGGCCCTCACATTTTTGGCTCTTACCTCCCCCAGCTTCATTGGGCCCACATGTATTTTCCCTCTTACCCGTTTAGGTGGCAACCCAAAGGCGGCCTTGCTTCTGTGTGCTGGGGACAGGGCAAGTGGCACCCAGCCATCTCCATCTGCAGGGTCCATAGCATTTTGAAAGGCTTTCCCAGGATCTGATCTCTCTACCTCTTTAGCCCATTTGGAATTTTTTTTCAATGGCATCAAGTGTCATTTAAAAGGCTTTCCAAAGAGCAGTGGTAGTAGGAGGTTGAGGCTTCATAAAATAGTTCACAGTCAACAGGACATCAGCCCCATTTCCTGGAAGGATCTGAACTCAAGTCAGTCCCTATCTTCTGGGAATCCTGTGTGTATGAGGTCATGTTTATGGTGCACAGGGTGTGCATGGGTGGTGTGTGTGTGATTGTATATGGTGTGTGTATACGTGTGTGTGTCTGCTGCCTGTGAGCCATGCCTGCGTCCTCTGGGTGTGTGTGCGTGTGTGTGCGTGTGTGTTTAGGACCTGCTAACACACCAGGCACTGAGAGGGCAAAGAGGCCCAGGTTTTGCCTGGACACGCATTGATCTCACTGCTCGCCCAACCGGTGGATCTCAAGCACTAAAGAAGGGAAGCCAGAATGTTCTCACCCTGGTCTGCTCCCATTTACACTGTGGCTTTGGGGATCTTCTGGCCCACGTGGGCTTTGCCTCTAGGATTCCTCTATGTCACCTTCTGTCTGTCCAAAATGTCAAATTTTGTGAGAAAGCACCTAGCACAGTGCCTTATACATCATAAAGTGCTCAGTTAATATTTTAAATTGAATGTCAGAAGGAAAAGAATTAAATAATCATCGCAGCAGTTAGCGCTCCTCACCGCCGCCTGACCCAGTGCTGACACGCACGTTCTTACTTGATCCTCCAGCAAATCTGGGAGGTGGGAAAGGCAGGTTCTACAATGCCCATTTTATGAGTGAGAAAACAAAGGCCCAGAGAGATGAAGCAACATTTTGAAGTTAAAAAAAAAAACCACAACAAAAACCCATTGTAAATGGCAGAGCTGGACTAGAATGTCTGACTCCACGTTCTGGACCCCCCTTTTTTTTTTAAAGTAGGCTCCATGCCTAGCATGGAGCCCAACATGGGGCTTGAACTCACGACCTGAAGATCAAGACCTGAGCTGAAATCAAGAGTCGGACGCTTAACTGACTGAGCTGCCCAGGCGCCCCTAGACTCTTATCAGATAAAACTCCCTTTTAAGATTATTATCCTTTATCTAGAGGAGGTCCTCTGAAAGGTTATTTCTGAAGCTCCCAGCCTAAGGGCCCAGCCTGTCCATGAGGGCAGAAGCCCCAGGAGGGGCCCCGCAGTGGCACTGAAGCCTGGCACAGCCAGGCACTGTAAACGGGCTGCAGAGAGGAAAGCCTGCCCAGGAGCCCCGAGGCCACTCAGCCCTGCTCCTCGCTGCTCCAGGCACTGCAGACCCTGCTTCCTGCAGGCGAGAGCCCGCACTTCCCACTGCCGGTCTGGGTTGGCATCCTGAGCCTCGTCTCCATGTGGGCTGGAATACTCGTGGTGTGGACACCACATGCTGCTTCTGGAACTAAAATGCAAGGTTCGTGAGGGCTGGGAGCTGTCCCTGCTGATTAAAATGTGGATATCAGGGCTTCCCAGTGCCCAAGGCCTACTATGAGGATGATCCCACCGAGGCACGGAGGCCCGTGAGACGACAGGTTATGTGGCAAATGACTTGTGTCTAGAACCACCAACTGTTTCAGCAACAGCCTCTGATTTCAAGTTTAATGTTCCTTCTGCAACTTTAAGAGCATAAAATCATCCTGATGAGGTTTGACTCCTGCTTCTTCGTATATTAGACATCTCCTCAGCCATAAACTGGATCAAAAGCTCAGAGTCACATTCCAAGCTCCACCATTTGCTGGCTGTGCGTCCTTGGCATGTTACTTAACCTCTCTGTTTCTTTAGTTTTATCAGTTCTAAAGGGGGATAACAACAGTACCCACCCTGCAGTGTTGTTACAAAGATTAAATGCCTTAGGATCTATAAGGAACTCAGAACAGCATGAGGCACAGAGAAAGCACCCAGTTATGGTGGTGGCCGCTATTCCTACTACTATTACTACGACTCCTACTATAATGACTTCACCACCTCGGGCCGCTCCACCGGGCCACACTGGGGATGCCCAGGTCCCCTGTGATTTGTAGCGCAGATCTGGACTTAGGTAAGAGTATGCGCTCATATCAAGGCCCAGCATCCTGACCCTCAAGCGTGTCTCAACACCCCTCAGGTTCAAAAGGCAAGGTAGCCAATGATTAGAGCCTGGAGCCGGGTCTCTGCAGCTAATCACTTCCATCTACGGGAACACTCACGGCCTCTTCCAGATGAAACGAGGTTGCTAACACTCTGTCTGCCATGCGGAATTCATGAGGAGAACACGAGCCCCGTGTGCAAAAGAACTTGGCAGAGGAACTAACAAATATATGGAACTAATATAACTTTAAAAAGCCATCCTAGGGCAAGTCTGTAGTCCTCAGTTTACGAACTGTGGAGTTTAACAACAACCTGTGAACTAGGATAGATAGTTTCCCAGATTCAGGCCGCAGAGTCCCTTGCATTTTTAGGCTGAGCCTGGCTGCTCACCCCCTCCCCCTTCCACCGCCCCTGCCGCGCTCTCCAGCAGAAATGCAAATTCCCGCCTGCCCACCACTGCCCCCCCAGTTCCATCTGGCCTGAACAAATAGGAGGTGGCATTAATTATTCATGTGGGCATTTCTTATTCTCCTGTCCCCAGGAAACTCCCAGCTGCCCTAAAGGGCTTTGAGGAGAAGGGGTGTGAATGCGCAAACCAAAATATAAGCCACTTTGTTGTGTCCTGGTGGTGCCAACAAAGGTTGTCAAATGGATGGGCGAGGAGGTGGGGAGGAGCAGGGAGACAGACGGGGGGGGGGGGGGGGGGCGGGGCAGGGGGATGGCGAGGGGGCACCAGCTCTGCCTACCTGCTGATCCAAATACTCTAGGTTTCTTTGCAACTGAAGGTCTAAAAGTTCATCCTACCCGGAGCCCAACGGCAACACAAACAGGAACAAGACAACAGAAAACAATAAAAAGGAAGCAAAGCAGTTAAGAGTTAGCTGGGGGGCAAGGTCAAAGAGAGCCCTCTGTCGGCCCTTGAAGAGTTCTAGGGAAGGGCAGGGATGAGACTGAGGGCAGGCACCAAGTTGTCTACCGGATACCGGATACCGAGCGAGAGGAGGGACTCACTGGGGCCCCAACTCCAGGGCTCCTGGTCCGCCTGGCCCTCCCCTGGGAGAGGGAAGAACCCTGAAACAATCTAGTCGGCCCTCCCTAGCAGCTCCTGAGTTTTCGGGAAGAATCCATTGTTCCTAGATGGGTGCTGAGCTGTGTATCAGGGCTAGAGCTTGGACAGAGAAGGATCAAGGGGAAGGAGGGGAGGGGCACCCTCCATGCCTGTAGAGGCTCCTCCACCCTGGCCTCCCAGGGCTATGCAGGGAAGGTGTCAGCAACAGGCTTTTGGGGACAAGGACTCGGCCTGTTGGTTCCAGTGTACCCGCCCCCATCCCAGGTGGAGCATCTGCATCCAGTTCTGGGCGGGAGGGAGACAAAAATTCTCTGGAGAACAAATTCCCAGAAGAGACAAGTAGAAAGCAGGGAGAAAAGAAGGAAAAGGCGTAATATGGAAATTATTTTCTTCCTTAATCTCACTACTTGTCTCTTTCCTCAAAAGTAGCACTCCAGGCAAGGACAGACTTGGAGAAAATGCCTGTTATCGGACACTCATTGGGCCCTGGATGGGGGCCCCTCTGCATGCTGGACAGGAGGTTGTTGCGGGGTCGAGAGAATCAGGACATCACACGCCTCCAGATCTTGTCCCTGCTCCTCTACCTTGTGTCCCAGAGATGGGGTAACTGGCGTCACACTCTGCACTGGGATCAGAGTCGTGGCCGGGAGGGAGGAGTATCCAGAGGCTGCTAAAAACCAGGAGGGCCAGGCACCAGGCACAGAGCATCCCTGTGGCTGCCCTAGTTTGGCCCCGCCCTGGAAGGAGAGGTTCTGTGGGGAGTGGATGGGAGGAGAGGACGTACCATCTTATCGTGGACCGTGGGGGATGGTGGGTAGTTGTAGGGGAACAGTCCTGCAGGGACTGGCCGCCTGTCTCCCAGGTAATCATACTGGAAGAGAAAGGGAATTGGAGAGGTGAGGGGTTCCGGCTGGGACACAGACTTCCCCACCAACTGAAGCTCAAGGTTAGGGATGTTTGTGTCCTGTCCCAGAGCAGATGCCAAATGAAAATGGACAGCATTTATTCACTGCAGTATCCTTGCATTGACCTGTCTTGTCCTCAAGATGTGAAAAGACAGAACCCTCTCTGCCCTCAAACACAGGATTAGGGTTCCTGGCATGACCTGGGGATGGGCACCAACAGCAATGTTCCTCCTCAGGGGTCAAAGCAAATGCCCCAAAGCAGCTCTCCCACGGACAGACCCGCAGGGCCAGAAGCTCCCCCGCGCATCATCGTGGCTCCTGCCAACACACAGTGTGTGTCCCTGGGGGACACAGTGACCCCGAGTCCCAGATGCCCCCCCCCCCTCCACCTCTCCTCTGCAGATGGTGGTAGGCTTCTTGGGGGGTCTCAGGGCATGAGGAAGGAAGGGCAGGCTGGTGGCTCACCTTGGGGGAGCTGATGGACCGCCTCACCACATAGGCAGCAGGGTCAGCATAGATGTCCTCGCTGCGAGGTGGCAGGCGCTCAAAGCGGGCACTGGGTGAGCGGACGGGGGAGTAAATGCGGGCACGGCTGTAGGAGCCCTGGCTGGGCGAGCGTGGCACAGAGTGGGAGCGGGGCTGCAAGGACAGGCGGCGCAGGGAGCTGGAGGTGGCATCCAGCTCATCGTAATAGACTGGCTGCCGGGAGGGGGAGGGGCCGGGGAGCCAGACGGTGCCATCCTGCCGCCCGTAGCCCGGGGGCTCCTTCCACTCCCGCAGCTGGAAGGCAGGGCCGCCTCCATTGCGGAACGAGTGGCGCTTGTCCTCCAGCGCCCAGGGTGGGCTGATCCGATCGTAGGCTGGCATCGAGCAGATGCTGTCCGGCCGCACCCCTGGTGGGTAGTAGTGGTAATCATCGGGGTACTGGGAGGAGTAGGGGCTGTAATACTCAGGGACCCTGCGGGACACGGGGTAGAACCTAGAGGGACTGGGAGAGAGAGAGGACATTGTAAGGAAGCCAGACAAAATGAGCGCAACCCCACCCACCCCACCGCTGTGCCCCAGCCCCACCTCCAGGTCCTCCAGCCTAGAGCAGGGTGAGCCCAGGTGAACGGTGCCCCAGGCCGACTGTGGGAGCCCACGGAGGCAGCCACTGCCTGGGCGCTGAGCCTTGCTTCCGGGGGTGCAGGGAAAGCTCCCCCATAGCTTCCTCCCTCAACCAGCCACCCGAGGCTGGAAATTTCACATTCAGAGCTTCCATCTTTGTCTTTTTAAAATGAAGTAGCCCTGGGGAGAAACTTTAAGCCTTATTAGCTATTTCTATCCCACCATGAACCCATGTATCAGATCCTTTCCAGAGAGGTGAACGGCAGAAAGAGCAGAAAGAACGTGAGCGTACTGGGCACTGGGGAGGGTGACAGAAGAGGGACAAAAGAGCAGTTTCCCATCCATCAAGGACGGGACCAGTAGGTTCCTGGGACTCATCCCAAGTGAGGCGCTCGCCCTGGGGCAGGCCAGACGTCCCAGGCACCAGGGCGGCAGTGGTGAGCATGTGAGCAGCCTTCCTGTGGCAGGAACCTGCGCTCCGGGGAGCTGCCCACCCCCGCAGGGAAGGGGCCGTAGCCCCACTTGCTCTGATGCATGCTCCGGGCCCAAAAAATGTCTTCCGGTGTTTGAAAGTCAATCACTGGACAAAGGAATAAATTGGTCTAGTTATGGCAACATTCTGTTTCTTTTCCTTTTCTTAAGCTGCATATAAAGACTTGCAAACAATTAGAGCCGTTCAAAACTGGGGTGAGTTGGCTTGGTGGCCAGTGAGGCTCGTGGTGGCAGAGACACCGGATGGCACCGAGGGTGCTGTAAGAGGGCCAGACGCACGGATGGCTCTCTGACTGGCACAACTCGAAGGCCCCTCCCTCCGAGTGCCTGCACGCCTCCCGGGCACCCCGCATCCTCGCCGAGAGGCGCTGGGTGCTCTGGTCTTGTCTCTGAAGAAAGTAGACGGGGCAGGAGCCAGGCAGGGGTCACACTCCACAGCTGGAGCCGCGGGGCAGTACAGGATTTGGACAAGCTGGGAACCCTGGGCTGGAGGGTCTTCCTGGTGTCCCAACTCAGCCTGGCTTCCAGAAGATTTCCGGCAGGGGATGCTACACATGTTACGTGCCCCCCTCCCCAGGCCCAGCCCTAACACCACCCCAGCTCCACGCCGGCGCCCCACCAGGACTCACCTGCGAAGGTCGTCGGGTGGGGGCACCCCTCGGCGCAGGTTCACCCATTGCTGAAGCTGGTTCATGGAGCTCTTGCGCTGGGCAATTTTGTCGGGGTCGGCACGCGGGGGGAAGCTCCGCTGGTGTCCCCCACTCTCTGAGTCCTGAGGTGGGAAAGCTGTGCTCCCTGGTCGGCTCGGGGAGCTATACTGCCAGCCGTTGGGCTGGGCGGGCCGATCCCCTCCCCCTGGGACCCTCGGGCCCTCGGGGTATGGGCTGCCAGGCTCTGAGGCTGGTTCCGGTCCGGCTTGGATGCCATTGGCTTTCACCAGAGGCTCGCTCTTGACTTCGGGCCTCTCGGGTTTCCTCTCGGCCTTCTCGCAGCCCCGGCCGTCACCCTCCCCTCGAGTCTTGGCCTCGGGCTCAGGCTTGGGGAGGCTGTTGTGGGATGGCTGGTGGTGGTGTTTACTAGGTGGGATGTTCTCGGAGTCTGGTTTCTCGTGGCTGCTGGACACCAAGGGAGATGTTGTAAGTGACCCCTGCCCAGCTCTAGACTGGGAAGGAAAAAGGAGTGGAGAACGGTGGGCAGGAAGGTAGCAATGGAAATGGGAGTCAGTGAATTGCAATTTTGTTTCCTAAATTCCCCCCCCCTTTTTTTAAGATTTTATTTATTTGACAGAGAGAGACACAGCGACAGAGGGAACACAAGCGGGGGGAGCGGGAGAGGGAGAAGCAAGCTCCCCACCAAGCAGGGTGCCCGATGCAGGGCTCGATCCCAGGACCCCAGGATCATGACCTGAGCTGAAGGCCGACGCTCAATGACTGAGCTACCCAGGCGCCCCCCCCCCTTTTTTCAAGATTTTATTTATGTATTTGACAGAGAGCGACACAGTGAGAGAGGGAACACAAGCAGAGGGAGTGGGAGAGGGAGAAGCAGGCTTCCTGCTGAGCAGGGAGCCCGATGTAGGGCTCGATCCCAGAAGCCTGGGATCATGACCCAAGCTGAAGGCAGACACTTAACTGAGCCACCCAGGCGCCCCAATCCCCCCATTTTGCTTTCTTGCTCCAGCTTGGACAATCACTATAAAACATAGTCCAATCTTGCCTATGCACAGTTTGCTCGTTTTACCCTCCAGGTCATCTCCATGGGTCACTCTCTGCTCCCTTCTGCTGACCTGCATTGAATCCAGCCACTGACCTCCCCCAGACTTGGTCTCCCCAGCAGTCTGTCTCCACTCCAGCCCCGAAAGCTCCATACACGCCCTACCAAATCTCCATAATGGTGACTGTCCTTGATGTTTCGGCTACAGAAGCTTGTTACAGGTCAGTCCTGTGTCCTGTATAAGTTCCTTAACTTCAGCGAGCCTTGGGCTCCTTGTTGGCAGGATGGGTGTACCAGTCTCTCCCCTCGCAGGACCGTGAGCTTAAACGTGGCAGGCGCCAGGCACCAAAGCTGTTGCCTCAAACATCCTCGGCACAGAAACATGCTAGTTCCCGTCTCCAGAACAAGCTTCTTCCAGGACTGACTCTGTCAGAATGTAAGCTCCACGAGGCAGAAGCGTGTAGACTTGTCTTCCCTTGTTTCCCTAGCATCCGATCTGGTGCCTGACACATATCTACTTACAGTAAATATTTACGAACTGAATGAGTGAACTTCTGGAAGTACGCCCCTCCGCTGATGTGAAGATGGAGTGACTATGTTTTCCCTGTGGCTTCCCAAACCCAACATATTCAAGCATCCTTGTTGCGACATTCCCTGTGTTAAACACTTCTAAGACACTAAAATAGACTTGGAGTCTATCTATACTGTAAAACCTCCTCCTTTTGGATCCCTGTTAACATCTACCTCAGGACTCCACATACTGAGTAAAGACAGGCCCCGAGGCTGCAGGGGGCAGCGGGTGGGGACGGGGATGGGGCCAACATGGGCTGAGTGCTCCCTGCACATCCAGATTTCACAGCCACCCTGTGAGGGAGGATTCTAACTGCTGTCTTCGAGGAGAGGAAATTCAGGTTGAGAGAGGTTAAGTAACTCACACTGATGTCACAGTGTGGGCAAGGGGCTAAGTGGGGATTCGAACCCGAGTCCACCCTCCTCCAGAAGTCATGGGTTTAATGTGCACAGCCAAGAATAAACGAGTGAATGACCCTGGTCTTTGGCTCCTGGCCAGGCCCCGAGGGAACCTGACTTCTCTCTTGGCCTCTACCAGCCCAGAGAGAAGAGGTAGACTCAATCAGGGGAAGAGAGACCCCAGGCCTCGAAATCACTTAGCCAGGCACCCTGCTGGGAGGCAAGGAGTGGTTCACATGTCCTCAGAGGTTCGAGCCAGCACTGGGCTCAGGAGGTCATAGAGTGGGGTGCTTCCTCACTCCTCTTTCTTTGGCATTCACCACGCCCATGCCCAGTGCCCTGGAACTCACCTGTGACGCACAGCTTGGGGCACTGACTTCTGGGCTGGGGGGATCTGTACTCGGGCAGCCTCCCCCATGGCCTGGATCCAGGCCTCCTGCTCCTCGGGGCTCTCGGCACTGAAGAAGTATGTGCGGACCCCGGCGTGCTCGGCCTGTGGGGAGAGGCAGTTCGTGGAACTGGCCCCGGCCTCATCCACCCAGCACGTAGTCACCTGTAGGGAGAAGACAGCCACATCCACAGAACAGGTGGTCAGGCAGGCCATTTCCTTGGTCTGTAGCTCTTCCCCCCACCCCCTGCAGCTCAGGAGCAAGGTGAGGAGGATAGCCCCCCGCTATGCCAAGTGTTCTAGCTGGGGCATATGGGCTAGCTCTCTGCATACCACCCAGCGGCCCAGGAGCCAGGGAAGCTTACCTGCCCCACCTAAGGTGATTATAAACAGGAAGGACAATTACCACGCCCACTCTCCCATCGAATTCCAACTTTGATTTGAAGGGCAATTATTATCTGATGTCTGGGAGAGATGTCTCCCCACCCCGCCCCCAGGCCCATGCCAGTCCTGGCCCCAGCTTGGCCTCTGAGGAGCTGGTACAGAGAGACAGCCAGGCCTCCACCTCCCTGCGCATGCAAGGGGCATGCACTGCCAGTTAGAGCACGCTACCTAGTTGGCGGCCGCGAGCAGGCGCGGCAGGCGGGAACCCAGAAGGGAGCTCCTGTCCAGAGGAGGGGTCCTCACGCAGTCAGAAGGAGGAGAAGCAGAGAACAGGTCAACCAGACACCAGAGGGAGAGACAGAAGATGACGTGGCAGGAATATTGAGGAGCAGAGGGAATTGGGAGGCTATTTAGATTATCTCCTTCTACTCGCTATTGCAGCCATGGGGACGACAGCACATAGTGATGCCCAGGATGGCCCGCCAAGGGTGGGGAGTGCAGAGCTTGCCCCAAGGCAACTGGGGCTGTTGGCGGAGAGGATTCAGGGCATCCCAGTGCTGATTCTAGCTCTGTTCCCAACAAGCTCTGCAGCTGCATATGACTTGGGTTTTTGTTCTGGCCTGAAGGGATGCATCTGTCTAATGGGGAGGGATCTTCCTGGTGAAGGTCAAAGTTCTTAGGACACAAGGGAAAAATGCTCCAGAGCTGAATTCTTTCTGGGACCTCAGCATACTCCCCAGGTGAGACCTTCAATCTCGCAGAAAAAGCAGGTAGCCTGGTTTACCCCACTCAACCTAAGAAATCCAAGTGATTAATAGTCTCAGATGTGAACCTCTCTTTGGTCCCTTGAGTGTGAAATCATGGGTGTCTCAGGCTTGGAAGGAGAGAAGACCAAGCCCCAGGGCTCTCGGAAGGAGCAGTGTCAAGTCCACACCCTCCAAATGCTTCCCTGGCTGGACCTTCACCCTCTGTACCACCGTTGCCCGGCACACGATTCCTCTCTGACGGGAGTCATTACCCAGTGACCTGTCCTACTTCCTCTGGATGCTGCCCATTCCCACCCTCCAGCAGGGGGCCCAGCTTGTGGGCAGAGGCAGGGAGGTGCTTCCAGCCAGCAAAGCTGTAAGGAGCCACCTGGATACGGAGAGCAGGGGACCTGGCGAGCTCTCCAGTGTGGAGGACACAGGTTGTTGTAGAGAAGAGGGAGACAGGCGGGACTGGTGGGTGTGACGTGGCGCTGGTAGGAGTGGGCAGCAAGTGAAATAATTTGCTAGTGAGCACCCTGTGCATGCAGAGCTCTGCTCTGGGCACCAATCACAGCGAAACAGACATGCTCTCTGCACTTGAAGAGCCCACGGTCAAGCTAGAGGACAAAACATGCCCACAGGGAGACAAGGGGAGAGCAAAGGCACAGGAGCATACTGCTTGCAACAGAGGAAGGGGGAGGGGCTGGGGATAAACAGGGCGGTTGACGGGCAGCCGGAGGGGACACCGGGCTGGCACCATGGAGGTGGGCCACAGACCGAGGGAGGTACCCCAGTGCGGTGAAGTCCACTGAGCCCCCATGCGGCTGGGTTAGGAAGAGGTTAAGGCACTCAGCAGCAGGCTGGGCAGGACTAGTGCCCAGCTCATTATTAGCCATCCAAGAGTTTCACTTGGTGGCCGTAACAGGACAAGCCTCCCATCTGTCTCTGCTCCCCTCCCTTCCCTGGGGAAGGGTCACTGAATAGCCACAATCGGAACCCTTTGTGGGCCACTGAGCACAGCCCTCAGCGTTGGGTTTTAAAGAGGCAGTGCGCTCCTTGGGAAGGAGGAGAGGGGCAGCGGGGCGCAGAGAGCTGGGGCTGACGGCGGGTGTGTGTGTGTGTGTGTGTCTGCGTGTGTGTCTGTGTCTGTGTCTTTGTGTGTGTGTGTCAGTCACTCGGGATGCTCCCCGAATGCCTGCTGCTGGCCCAGCTCCGAGCTGGAGTGTGGATGTGTCTGTGCACAGGTCTAGAGGGTGAGACAGGCTGTGTGGCGGTGTGGGCGAGAATGTGTACGGTAGGACTCTCTGTTGTTGGTTAAACAACCTGTTTCTACTTCCCCAGCTAGAACCCGGCTCCCTAGAGCTAGAGTTTTATTAATTGTTCATTCTGTTCACACCTCTGGCAGACAGGACCCTAGGAGGCTAGGAACTAATTATGTGCCAAAGAAGCCCCTCCTTGTTCCCCAGAGCAGCACCTGTGTATCCTGCCCCCCCACCCCCCCACCCCCACTCTTTTCCACGGTCAGGTGACCAGAGTCTGAAGGACAGGAAGAGGCAGAGTCTCTGAGGTCCCACAGGCTCAGATACTGATCTGGCGTTACCTGCAGTTCCTATCATCATCCAACACCTTTTGATTTTCAGGGACCTGGACAGCCATTCTCAACTAGGGGAAGGGAGGGCTACATTGTGCTGAGAAAATGCACAGCCGGTATATCATTTTCTATTTGGAAATAAAAAGAAGCCTCTGGTCTTGGCATCATAAAATACAAAAAGGGCATGGGATTTTATTGTTTTTAATGGGTCATGAATTTTTAAACGTAGAAAAACACCAGCTTGCAATGAGCCAGTTGCAAGTACATCTTTGATGGGTGGATTCCCCGGGGGGTTCCAAGGGGGGGCGGACACTGAGCAGGCGTGTGAGGCCCATCTTCCCGTGCTCCTGTTCTCCCAAACTGTGGTCTGCGTGAAGTCCGTCTTTCTCGACTGTAATCAAACTCAACTCCTAATTTTCTCTAGAGATTGAAATTTGAGTAGGTTTGACTGGGGGTCTAGTTCCCTGGGCCCAATGTAGGGAGGACTGCTTTCTAGAAGGGTTGTCAGAACCCCATCAGCCCACAGCCCCTGCCTCTGCTGTCAGGCCACTGGACGGAGAGCTCATGGGTTCAGGACGTACTTCTCCCCCCAGGAAAAACTGGGGTACCACTGAGGCCCATCTCTCCCAGCCCAACCTGAGGAGAACCACCCGGCTGACTCCCAAGATAAGAGGAGGTGGTCTCGATAGAGCCGGGACTGACTCCAGTGGCCACTGCCTTCTCCCTCCCTCCACCACCACTGGGCACTCCTTGGGGAGGTGGCTCAGGACCCTTCTCCACTCCTTCATGCTCTAGAAGAGCAGGCCTCCCTTCCACACCTGACCTGGGAGAGGAAGGGCCAACTGACCTTAAAGGTGTGTTTTCGGCTGATGTTGTCCGACGGCTGCACTGCGGCCACCCGGAAGCTCAGGAGGGGGATGCTGCCCAGGATGCTCTCCTCCTTCTCATCTGTTGGGTAGAGGCACAGGTGAGATGCGCATGCCTGCTGAGTGCGTGTGCACAGAGAGGGGTGGAGTCTATCAGCCCTACAGTGATGAACAGCAATATGCCCATGTGGCTCATCTACCACTGGTCAGGCCCCGAGGGCCACCACCCTCCAGCACACAGGCTGTGCTCTGCACAACACGGAGAGGCACACTCCCTGCAGACACTGTTCTAGATGCTGGGACTGTAGAGGCAGATGGGAGAGAAGTGCCACCCACCCTCAGGGAGCTTACCTTCTGGGATGCAGGTAGACAAATAAGGAACAGCTAATGTGATGGAGGGTTTGCTATTCATCAGGTACTGTTCTAAGTTAAATGACTTAATGGATTTAACCCTACCCACGATCCAATGAATAGGTACTGCGATTACCCCATTTTATGGGTAAGGAGGTGGAGACACAGAGAGGTTAAGTAATTTGTCCAACGCTACTGAAGTAGAGAGTGGTGGATTGGTCTTTGGACCCAAGAAGTCTGACTCCCAAGCAAGCATTTTTTTTTTAAACTCTACCCCCACCGTGGGGCTCAAACTCACAACCCCAAGATCAAGAGTCTCATGCTAAGCCAGGCAGGCGCCCCCCCCAAGCAAGCATTCTTTTTTTTTTTTTTAAAGATTTTATTTATTTATTTAAGAGAGAGAATGAGAGAGAGAGAGCACATGAGAGGGGGGAGGGTCAGAGGGAGAAGCAGACTCCCTGCCGAGCAGGGAGCCCGATGCGGGACTCGATCCAGGGACTCGATCCAGGGACTCCAGGATCATGACCTGAGCCGAAGGCAGTCGCTTAACCAACTGAGCCACCCAGGCGCCCCCAAGCAAGCATTCTTAACCACTCTCCTATCTATAGAGCCTCCCCAAGCAAGACAATTCCAGCGGGGATACATGTAATGGGATAATAATGGGATTGGGCATGGCAGAGCAGTCCCATCTTCGGCTCTGGCTCTTCTGGGTAACTGTTTCTAAGGTTCTCCCAGGCACCCAGCAGCTTGCTCTGTCCTCTCCTGACAGGTGTCGGTCTTCCCCTTTATGGCCCCGTGTCTCCACAGGCAGACACGCATCTGCAAAACCCCTTGGCCCTCTGGTCCCTGCATCAGGCTAACAACCAGGCTTCTAAGTAATCCATCCTGGATCTCCAAAGGAGCCTGATGGATGAGCTGGTCGGTCCCCCAGCTGTCGGCAGGAGCCTCAAAAGGTGGGGGTGTTCTGTGGAACAGGTAGGGGGGCAACTCCCCACTTCCCTGGGATAGCTCTTTGTTCCCGAGGCTAGAAACCCTGGAAAACCCTCCATTAGGTGTCAGAAGGAGTCTCGGGGATTATAGAGTCATGAGCTCCCCTTCTTTGCTTCGTCATCACTCACACAAGATACTTGGCTTAAGGTCCAGCTTCCTCTGCAGAGTCAGCATGGCACCCAGAGGAAGGGTGAAGCCAAAGGATCAGGAGGAGCCCGGGGCTGGGGACCCAGGGCTTCTTCAGGAAAGCGGAGGTTGCCAACCTCTAGAGGCAATGGCCTTCTGCCTGGCAGTGTCCGGGCCAGTGTTTACAGGGGCACTTGAGAGCATCTCTCAGTGGATGGTGGCCCTCATCACAGTGCCCTCTGAGTTCACAACTTTTCAGTTTCTCCCCTCCGGCCAGTCCCACAGTCTCTCCTCTGCGGAGATCCTGGCTTTCCTTCAGCTTCGTTCAGACTCTGGCTCCAGCCAGCCCTGGGTCCCAGAGGCCCAGCACCAGGGGCCACGCCCCGGGCAGATTCTTCTCCCCCAGTCTTGGGGTTTTTTCTGTGGCTGGACCCTGTCCCTGCAGCCCCTTCCTGATTTCTCTTTTTGGGGCCCAGGTGGCAGCGACTCAGGGCACAGGGACAGCAGTACTCTGGAGGGGTCACTAGGTATAACCTTTGTTTGTGGAAGTTAATGATTCACTGAACTGCTCCCAGGAGGCCCAGGGAAGTCAGGGCCCTGCCATTCCCAGGGCCTGGAGGAAAGGAATCAGCCTCTCCTGCCGCAGAACCATTTTACCCTTCTCTTCCTGTGGCCCCACAGCAGCGTGACAGGGGCCCTGTCCTCAAGCCTCACTAGCTCCCTCAGGACCTGCCTGACACAACACGGCTGTACATTTATTTTAAAAATAACTTCCCAGAGGCTGCCTCACCAAAGTTATTAGGTCTCTCTCTCTCTCTCTCTTTTTGTTGAGCGGCTTGGGAGTGAGTGTTGGGGAGCGCACAGATGGTGGAAGCTGGGGATATTCACTTACTCGACACTGATTGAGCACCTACTCTGTGCCACGCGCCGTTTTAGGCGCTGGGACTACCGCCGTGAACGAAACCAAGATTTCTGCCTTCGTAGAATCGGCTCGGACACTCCAGGGGGAGGCAGATCAACACACAAGCTCCGACTGGAAGGGCAGCTGCTAGTAGTGACTAGGGGCCTTCCTCCTCTTCCTCCTCTTCCTCCTCCTCCTGGCCCATCCCCCACCCCAGGACTTCACTTTGCCCACCGTGTCCCCCAGCAGCACCCAGAACTCTGCCTGAAACCTGGAGGGCGCACCGTAAACACTGTTGAATGTGAAGTGAGTGACCACGTGAGCAAGCGGGCTCTGTCTTTATCCCACTGTCACACCCCACGGGTGCCCGAGGCTATGGGGCAGATTTGCACCCCCACCCCCACCAATGTCCACCAACCAACGTCCACCCGAAGCAGAGCCCGGTGGTATGGCAGAATGAGAAAGAGCGGTGGGCCCTGCCTTCCCGCGGCCTCGGCCAGCCCCAGGAGAAGAGGCAAGCTCACCTTTGTAGTAGAAGAGACAGCGATCCACCAGGACGAACCAGCGCTTGTTCCATTGCTTAACCCCGGAGCTGGCCTGCGGGACACGTGGGCACAGAGGGGAGGGACTGTGAGCTGCGCATGGGAGGGAGGATGCAGGGGAAGGAGCGTGGCACTAATTTCAAGGCCATCCTGCCTCTGGTCGCAGCTCTGCAGCCAGTAAGTCGCAGCCAACCCCCTGGGGACCTCAGAGGCAGGAAAGTGACATTAGATTATTGTCTGTCACCTTCCAGTTCTGTCATCCCAGGCCTCAGTGTCTCTCCCAGGGAAGATAAAAGGGGTGAGAGGTGAGCCAGGATGAGTGGGCAGAGGGTGGGCAGGGAGGGTGGTGAGGTCAAACTGGGAAGACTTAGTGGACCCCGGGACTAAGGACACCCCCCTTCCTTCACAGCAAGAGGGACCTCCTGAGAACGAGCCAGTGGGTTGCTCTGATGGGGTTAGCGACCCAGCATCTTTCTGTCATTCCATCTGCCCATTAGGAGACCTGACTGGGTTCCCAAATGTGACACTATTTTTTCTGTGTGACTTTGGGAAGATATTCAACTTCTCTGAGTCTTCATAAAATTAGGAGATTCATTCACAGAGATATACCAAAAATAGGTCACGGGAGGACATACCAAAACATGCAGGGACTATTACTGTAACTACAGAGGAAGCAGAGCAATGAGGAGAAAGTGGAGGTCCTGGTGGGCGGACTGCAGGGGAGGCCTCACCTGTTTGAAGAGCCAGCCCGCCTTGGTGACAGGTGCATTGAGATTACGCTTCATGGAGTGTGAGCGCTTCCCAAAGGCGATGGCCTTGCGGGATGTTCGGGTTGCCTGGGGAGGCAGACACAGAAACCCTCCTGACTTTCTTCCTCTCCTCCCCTCCGCTCTTTCTGCTGTGGGAGCGACCCTTGCTGGGAGCTGTAGCTCTCTCCGTGCTTGGGGTGTCCTCACCCTAAGAGGACCAGGTGTGACTCCTGGATCTGCTCCTAACTCAAGGGCGCAGCTTTCCAATTCTTGGACTCTTTTTCTTATCTCTAAAATGGGGCTCAAAATAATAGTCTGACCTGTCTCACAGCGGTGTGGATTTTGTTGTTGTTGTTTTAAGGAGAAAATAAGAATTCTCATTTCACTCCTGGGCTATCTTTCTTCAACTGTCCTGACTCCCCTCCTCTTTCATAATGCTTTCTGGAACCCACTCAAATGCCAGTAAATTCCCTACATCATCATCCTCTTGGAGTCCTGCTCACTCTCGAATGTCCAACATAGCACAGAGCAGAGAGGACATGCAAGGGTTCTCCTGGCTCCTTATTGCTATGTGGACACTGCCATCCTCCCACATTCTGGCAATAATCTCTCTGGAAGCACCCCTGGTCTTCCACTGTTCAGCCCTTCTCATCACTGTCAGCTTCTAGATCATTCCTTCAGAGTCTTAGAATTCCGGTATCAATCATCCTCTTTATTCTAAGTCTGGCCATCCCTGTGGCACTGTACTTGATGAGGACCGATCCAGTGCCCTAACCTTATAGTACCGTGATAGCCTCAATCCCAAAATCATTCACTGCTACCCTGGCGCTCACTCCCACAGCTGCACCTGCGACCTGGCCGGCCCCACGCCCCTCCACCACTAACATCTTCAATTCTGGTGTTCCCATTTCCTGACGCCGTCCCCTCCTTTGGGCTTTCTCACTCCATTACTCAACACCCCCAGCTTTTCTACTCCACTAGAATCCCCAGCTCCTTAGTCCTTCCCTTTTTTTCTGGACCCGTCAGCCACGTCCTGGTTGTGGTTATTTCCCTACGAAGCCCAGGCTCCACGCTGGGGTAGGTCAGCTGCACTCTCAAACACTCCATCCGTTGTCAGAGCTGGAACTTCTCTAAAACTCAGAATCCCAGAGCAATCAAATTATCTGCACTCATGGCCAGATTATGGTTTATGATTAGAGATCTGCCGGACGAAGAGCACACTGCAGTACGGATGAGGCCACCGCAGAGCCCCTGTCCCCCCCAGTCCCCAACCTCAGCCTGGCCCAGCCCCCTCATGCCACTCCCTGCCCTCCCCCTCCCCCAAGCCCTGCAAGCTCCCCCATACCCTCCCCGCAGTGGACCCAGCTCCGCTCCACAGAGATGATCCAGGTTATCAGACATGCACTTCCTCAATTTCACACCCTTTTACCTAGAAAATCACTGTCCTTACCACTGTCGCCTCTTTCTCTCCAATGTCATCCTCCTTTTCAAGGCTAACACGTTCCACCTACCATTTCCTGAGACTTTTGCTCCATGGATAATCTCTTCTCAAATCTGTCTTCAACCTTTCCTTCTCCGCTAGCTGCTTCTCCTGAGCAAACATGCTCAGTTCTCTCCATCTTAAAGCATCAGTCTGTCTCTGTCTGTCTGTCGGTCTCTCCCCCTCACCAGCTCTTCCTTGCTCTCACGCGGCCACACCCACCGGAACTGCTCCCCCCACCCTACATCCCCTGCCATCCCCTGCCAGCCCTCAGGTAACACCTTCCCCCTTCTCCCTCCCTTCCTCCACAGGAATAGGCTCCTGGGAAGAGTCCTGAGGTTGCTCCTCACATTTACTCCTAACCCCCCTCCACCTCTTTCCTGAGGTGGCAATTGCAATGTCATTGAATTAAAGCTGCTCAGTCCTTGGCCATTTTAATACACTGGATAACACTGACCTTTCTGTCCTTCCTGAAACTCTTCTTTTAGAAACTCTTCTTTCCTCCATCTGTGGCCGCTCCTTCTCAAGCTCCACCTTTACTCTCTTGGTGGACCTCAACCAGACTTCAAATTCTTGTTTTTCTGGTTCTTCATTGTCTGTGTAGCTCATCTATAGCCATTGCCTCAGCTACCAGCAGTATGCTGAAAATTCTCTAATCCATATCTAAGAGCTGTCTCCTAGCCTCAGCGCATTTTATAACTGGTTGTCCAACCAGGACTAAATAAGTGCAAAGCCAGACTCATCCTCTTTCTAACCAAGCCTGATGCTCTGTATTTCTCACCTGGCGCATGGTACTCCAATCCACCCGGTTGCCCAGACCTGAACTCTGAACTGCCTCACACAGTTCCCTCCTTCCTCCGCTCCTGATACAACATTTGCGCAGGGCAGATGGGGCCATGTTCCTAATGGGTCTCGGATCTGTTCTTTCCTCTCAGGCCATCATCTCTTCTTGCTGTGCACCCTCTACCACGAAGTAAGGTTACCTTTCTAAAACACAGTGCCATCACGATGCTCTCTTAACATTTCTTACTACCTCTCATCACTTAGAAGGGAATTCAGTTCCTTAGCTCGGCACACAAGGACAAGTCTGTAAGGTTTGCCAGGCCCACGCTCCTGCCTTCTGCCCCTCTACCAGACAGGTCCCTCGCCAAACTCCTGGTGGTTCTCTGCCATGCCCCTGCCTATGTTCACCTTGCTCTCCCATAGGAGATGTGGGGAGCCCCATCTCCCTTGTCCCATGACAAGTCCCAACTCATCCTTTATGCCCAGGGTAGGCCCCCCAATTCCACAAAATCCCCCGGACCCCCCGGTGCCGTGAGCTGTCCCTCTTCTCTGTCCATTTGTGTGGTCTAAAGTTTGTTACACTGCAATGGGGCAGTTGGCCTTCCAACTCCTTCTCCAGACTCTGAGCTCTTTGTAGGGAGGAAGTTGAGTCTTGTTGGTCTGTTCATCACCAGAGCCCAGCAAGGTATCTGTCTACGATAAGCACTTAGTACATACTTGCAGAAAGAAGGAAAGAAGAAATTGGGCTTTATTGTAAAGCACACCCCAAACCGGGGAATACAATTATTTTCTAAACTTTACTAGTAAAAATCCACATATAAAGGCTGAGATGAGGCACCTGTGGAAGTCACCCACCACCTGAAGAATAAGCAACTCCCCAAATCCTTCCCTTCCTCCTCAGTCGGTCATCTGCCACAGCTTCACCTCCGCTCTGCAGGCTAGAAGCTGCTCCCACTGCTCACCCCTCCATGCCCTCACCCCCTTAGCTTTCTGCCACGGCTTCCCCCTGCCATTAGCCCCACCTTAGGCTAATCCAACCATCTACCTTCCCTGCTTTACCAGCTAGTCTGGGAGCGGCACTGGAGGAAAACCACACGCATCTGTGGACTGGAGCCACTCAGAGTCAAGTCTATGACCTCAGATGACCCTTCGACGTTATCACGCAATATTTCACATTCCCCTTGTTGATCTCTGGTCCTGTTCTCCAAACCCTGGGCATATTCTCAAGCCCCAATGCCTCTCTAGCCACCCCACTCCTCTTTGCGGAAAACCCTACCTCCTACTTCCCTGTAGAAGTTGAGGATATCAGATGGGAATGTCTTTAACTTCCTAGACCTGCACCTCCAAGCTTCACATACCGTTTTTTCTGCAGCTCAGGGGGAGTACCCCTTCTCTATGCAGGCTAACAGCACCTCTGCATCTGACTTCTCCTGTCTCCATGGAAATGAGACTCACAGCTGTCCCCTTCCTCCTGAACCTATCTACTGGGCCATCTCCCTCCCGCTCGCACATCTTAAAGCAAAATGAAATGGACCAAGAAGACCTCCTGCCATCTTGCATATCGTCTAGCTTCGGTCCCCTGTCCCACATTCCCCCTCACAATCAAGTTTCTTTACAAATATATATTTTTCAATATTACAAATATTTCAGAAAAGTAGAGAATAAATCACCACCATGTGCTGGGTGTTTTCCCCTGATAAAACATGACAAATAGAGCTGAAACTCCCCTTGAGCCACTCTTCAATCTCATTTCTTCCTTCCTAGAGGCAACCGCTGACCTAGAACTAGTCTGCCTGTCCATGGTTACATGGTCGTACCACAAATTTACCTGTGCATACATCGTATCACTTTCATGTAGGCTATTTCACATAAATGATATCACATCTTTCATATTCTGCAGCTTGCTTCTTACTCAACATTACATATTCAAGATTTATCCTTGTTAATACATATAGCTCTAGTCCAGTTTAATTTTTGGAGAGCGCTCCATTGTATGACTATACCACCACTTACTGTCTAGCTTCTTAGAAGACTAGTCCCTACTCGTCATCGTCTCTCCGTCTCCCCTCCCATCTCCTCTTTAGCCCTCTCCGGCTTGCCTTCTGCCCTCATCCCACCACTGGTCAGGGTCTCCAGTGCTAAACCCAGGGACACATTCAGCCCTTATCTTACTTGACCTCTATGCCACATTCTTCTCTGGATTACTTCTTCCTCCTGAGGCACTCCTTCCTTTCTGAGCTCTTGATTGCCATATCCCTTATGAATTATTCCTCTTTTGCTGTCCCCCTAGATCAGTTGTTCTCCATGGGCGGGGAGGGGGCAGTTTTGCCCCACAGGGGACATTGAACAATGTTTAGAGACACTGGTTGTCACAGGGCGGGTGCTAACTGGCATCTAATGGGTAAAGGCAGAGGATACTGCTCAACATCCTACAGTGAAAGGACAGTCCCACGTCACAAAGAACTACCTGGCCCCAAATGCTAATAGTGCCGAGGTTGAGAAGCCCTGGTCTAGAGATCAGTCTTCTACAAGGTTCTGGTCTGATCCCTCTTCCCTTCCCACTCTCCACTCCTCTTGCCTCACCTCACCTGCTCTGTGGAGCCTGTGAAGACAACTGGACAGGCTCATATGTTTCCTAGGATTCCTGCCTGACAGCTGGCCTTGGGGGCTAGACTTACCCGGACGCTGGGCCGCTCTGGGGGGACCTCGGACACCATGTTGTGGTTGGATACGTCACTGTTGGTGATAGCCGGGCGTTTTCCACCTGCTTTATTGGACATGTCCAAAGACGATCTGATTTCAGGTTGACCAAAAGAGAAGAAAGAGACTAGTCAAAAACACAAGAAGAATGGAAAAGCCCCATCCGTATTCCCCACCCTGCCACCCACCGAGATCACTTCAGCTGCTCCCTCTGCTCTTCTGAGACCACATGCCAGTAATCTTGAACAGTCTCCTCTTTCTTTCCTGTAAATTTATTTTAAAAACCTAGACCTTAGGACTCTGGAACTCCTTTTCCTTCTAACTGAAAAGACACAATGGCTCGGTGGACTATGGGAGTCATTTAATTTTTTTTTTCCTTTCTTTCTTGCACTGAGCCAAGATCCACAGCGAGAGGAATTTGCATTTGGCTCTCAGGATTCTATCAGCTTCCCTCAGCATTTCCCTCAAAGGCCCCTGGGGGATAGGCCCACCTCAGACCTGTCTCTCTCCTCCAGCGCAACCTGTGGGAGGCACCAGCCTGAGATCTTGGAGATGCTGGGAAAAGTGGGTGAGGGCGTCAAGCCAGACCTACGGCCCTCAGAAGCTTCCATTCCTCAGGACTGGGGTTAGAGACCCTAGGTCCTTCTGCTCTCCACACCCTCCCTTACGCTTCTCAGCTGCAAAGTGTGGGGGTGGGAGGTTGAGGGGGGTGGAAAGGCCAAGCAGCCAGCGGGGGGCAGACGTACATTTTCAAGTTAAATTTGTTGTTTTCTTCTGGGACCTGGCCAGTCACTGGGTGTAGAAATGTGTTCTGTCGTTCATTGTGGCTGTGGGGGCAAAGAACAGACAGAAGTTGTGATAAGGATGGAGAAGGCAGAGACACAAGCGAAAGGGTGGGCAGGCCCCGGGCAGTGACGGGCAGGGGTGACCACATAGGAGATGGTCCCTCTGTCCTTTGTGGGGTCTGGGGAGGCAGGACGGAGGGCTGGGCGGTAGAAAAAGCAGCTTCAGGCAGGTGGGGGGTGGGGAGACACTTTTACTAGTCAGTGCTAACTACTTATGGAGATCCCCGAGGCTGCAAATAAGCCCCACTTTAGCCCTTCGGTGGGGACCCTGGGCGTGTATGTGGGTGGGGGCCAAGACTTCATGTGTGGCAGGTTCTCTCCCAGGAACAGCTCCGGCCAGTGTTCCACATAAAAACTGCTCACTCATTATCTGCTGAAAAAATTCTCTTGTGACCTTGGACTCCTTCCTCTCCTGTTTTATGTACCATCTCTTTCTTTAAGTGAAACCAGGGATCCAGAAACTCCATTCCTGAGCTTGGGCTGGGACCTACTCACACTCGGGAGTCCAGGGTTTCTGCGTCTAAGGGGCTGAGATGTGGCTGAGATGTCAGGGGCTGTCAGGCATTGAGGTTAGTGCTGGCTCAACAGTCAGATCTAATTAAGGGCTGCTGTGGCCTGGGAGTGGGGTGGGGCATGGGGAGGACAGCCTGCCAGGAAGCAGGGTCTGTGCAGAGGCAGATGGGGAGCAGAGCCGTGGATGCTCCTTTGGGAAGTCCTGCCGTGGCCCTCTGGCTGGGCTGAATGTCAGGCTAGCTTCCTGGTGACTTTGTGGGGAGACGGGGAGGAAGGTAGCAGATAGAACTTGGGGGGGGCTGGTGCCATGGGTCTAAGCCACAAATGGCAGCCACTTGAGGTGGATTCTGCAAGCAGGGGACCACTTGGCAAGAATGTTATAGACTTCAAGCATCCAGCCAGTGGGGGGCTGGATGAGTTTTAAGGTCCTCTTCACCCATCCCTCTTGAGAGATACTGTGAGAGCCCAGGACAGGCTCAGTCCACCCCAAGAAGCAGGCGCCTAGACAGAGTGTGCTGAGGCCACACCAAGCTTGGGGGTCCTAACACCAGGCCACTTGAGCATCCTTAAAATGAATAGCCAGGATTGCTTGGCAAGGGGCAGATCAGCTGGTACCCAAGGAAAGAGAGCCTAGCTCGGTCCCTTCAGCTCCAAGAGTGAAGTAACCTTTTGTTGCCCCCTTCCAAAAGTCCAGGAATCCCAACCCCTGGGCTGTCTGTTGAAGCTAAGGATAATATCAAAGGGTGTTTTTTCAGCTTCCAAACCAGCCATGTTCAGATCAAATCCAAAGGCCTGTGGCAGATAGAAGCCTAGCGGGGCAGTGGCCACAGTCTATGGAACCCTGGGTTTGGCAGCTCGGGCTTGCTGGCCAGGACCCTAAACTTGGCCGGTGTCCGCCAGGCCTGGGTTGTAACTCCAACACGTTGCTCACCTGCTCCCCCACTTCTCAAACTTTATTCCCTCCTCCCTCCAACAGGGATGCTCTCCTCAACTTAACTGCAGGGGATCTTTGCAAGGAAGGGTAGCTGTTTCCAGTCACCCGCACCCCTGGCTCTCCCCGATCTGGGGTAGGGGGGTGAGCAGTCTGTGAAAATAAGGTCCTCAAGGTGCCAACATCTCTGCTTTTTTCCAGTGGCACAGAGCGCCTGCTCCCCACCTCCCACGCCCCCTCCCCCAGCCCCCCTTCTGCTCTACATGTTCCCTGTGCTAACTGCTGGAACCTTCCCTGCAGGCACTGGTACAGACAGACAGACACACACACACACACAGAAGCACACACACAGCCTGCTGTCAGCCCGCACAGGTCTCTCAAGGTACAGCGAGTTTTTCCCTGCCCCAGACTCTCCTACCCAGCAACCCCTACAAATGACGTCCTCTCCCCATCCCGGCACTACCAACTTCAAAATAGCTTTCCCTTCACAAGCACTGCAATGCAGCAGCCGTTGACCTAACTCCTCTTCCTTCTCCAGGTCAGGGCTGGCACGGCCCCCGCTCTGAAGCCCCCCCGCCCGACGAGCTGCCAATCAGCCTGCTCGCTGAACTCGGCTCACAGTCCACAGGAGAGCTCCCTACCTGACCCGGCGATCAGCCCGAAACTTCAACATCCTTTTGGCAGCTCTGTTCCCTGTTCGGCAGCCTCAGAGGACCTGCCAGCCTCCCTGCTCTTACCATCCCTCTGAGAAGTAAGTCCTCCAGTCCCCAGGGCTGGTGCGGAGCTCAGGGTGCGTGGCAGGCACGGCTGGCTCCGGGGCTAGGGGAGGGGGAGGGGCTCTCCCCGGGTGGTGGTAGGGGGTGCCCAGGTGCCCCAGGGGGGCCTGTGGCTTCCTAGCATCCAGCCCCAAGGCTGCCGTCTGAGTGCCGGAGGCAGAATAAGGGAGCAGGGATGATATTGTCCCAGTTCAGGTCCCCGTGGAGAAAATGCTGACACGGGGAGGCAGGCGTGTGCAGAGCAGGTGTACAACTTCCAGGTAGTCCGACCTCTCGGAGCTGAGGACACAGAGTAGCCTGGTGGGCGGAGCAGTCTGGGGCTGCATTCCCATCTGCCCGGCAGACACTCAGCCAGCCCGAGCTGGACGGCGGTCTTCCCTGCCTCCCGACCCCCAGCCCAGAACGCAGGGCCCTGGGCTGCAATCCCCGTGCTTCTCAGAGACCCTTCTGATCATGTGGGCACAAGGGTTCAACGAGGCTCCAGACTCGTGGGGCTGCCTAGAAGCTGAGATTAACTTTCCCCACGCCTCCTAGCCTGCCCAGACTTCTGTGTAGCCGGGGTTCAGTGAACGGGGCTTCTGTGCGGCGTCCCCAGCACGCTCCCTTAAGACACAGCCCCAGCCGGTGGGCTCTCTGCCGGGGGTCCAGCTGAGGGGCATGTGGAGCCCATGGGCGTGGGTGTCGTGGAGCCAGAGCTGGTGGCAAGGTCCTGGCTTCTTTGCTCGGGTGAACTTGAATGAAAGCGTCCTCTTGAAGCTCGCAAGGAAGAGGGCGGCACACAAGGCTCAGAGGGGGTCACCATGTGTTTACTTCTGAAAATCTTCCCAGATGCCATATGATAAATCCCAGCTGGCGACTGTCAGATCTGCTCAGGGGCAAGGAGGTTTGCATCACCGCGAAGTTCCCCGAACTCTCTGGGGGCCGAAGACGGTCAGATCTCCCTTTTTCCTGATGCCTTCCATGTCTTAGGGTCCTGGGACTGCAAGGGCCTTCTGAAGGTCATGTCTTCCATCCCCCTGCCTACAGGCCAGCTCACTCTGCAATCAATCTCATTAAGTGCCCTGGCTGCTCATAAAGCATTCTAGCAAGGGAGGCTCCAGACCCACTGTTAACCTTCTGCTGCCGAGATGTGCTTTTTTTGATATCAAATTTCAGTCCCTCTGGCTTTCTGTATCATTCCATTTCTGTCTTTGGATGGCAGAATCCTTTCTGATCAACGTGGTTCTTTATTGCAGCACTAAGCAGTCTGTTGTCATCATAGTCCGTTGTTATATCACAACAGACACTGAAAAGGGAAGGGCTAATCTAATTTTTTGGCTTGAGGTCAGAACTCAGTCAGAGAACAGTGCAATCCGTGAATGGAAAAGCAAATGGACAACATTATTACCTAACCCGTGGTGGGACAAGCTGGTTGGATGTAGCTGGGGTCAACAAAGCAATGAATCCTAAATCCAAACGGTTGATACATTCAACCATTTCGTGGTACTTCGGCAAATGGTGACAAGAGGCTTCGGTTGCCAGATCCTACCTCTCCCTGTCCCAGTCCGATTACTTGAGCCCTGCTATGGTTATGAAGATCTGGGCCCTCTCCTGATGCCAGCTTGAGGTCTCTGCCTGTGCACAGTGGGTGCCTAATAAATATTTGTTGAATCAAGGAGTGAGTGAATGAGCAAACAAAAGAAACTCTCCATGCTCTGACTTAATTTTTAGCCACCTGCATTTGGAGTTTGACACTCTATTACCAAGAGCTTCCCTATCTTTGCTCTCTCTTAAAATTAATTACTTCCTCTCCATGAGAGAAACTCTGTTTCTGCCCTCTCCCCCCCCACCACTCAGCTCCCCTGACTGGCTCCCCCTTGAATATATAGCTTGGCTTTGATCCATCTTCATTAAGAGGGGAAGAAAATTAAGCTCATCTGCACAGGAGGAGGGGGTGGGGGTGCATTGGGAAAATGAGTTTTCTTCCTCTAGAAGGCAAAAATATCCCCTTTCTCTTCAAGCTGAGCTCAGGGGCCTCCCACAGGCTTTGCTTAAGTTGTAAGTTAAATTACTTCTCCCGTGCCCAGTGAAGCTAGCACAAGGGGGTAGGGAATGAAGGCTCAGGGGTTTCCCCTGCTTGGTGAGCGCTCGGAAACCCTCAGGATTCAGGCACACCGAATGTCTAGCTGGGTTCCTTTTCCTTCACCACTAAACTGCACAGAATGATAGATTTTCATTTTAGGTTAGACATCAGGAAGAACTTACCAGGCCCACAATAGTTAAAAAGGAAAACAAGGCTAGATAACTAGGTTTTTTTTCTCTCTTCTTTCCTTTTTTTTTTTGTGGGGGGGGGAGGGGGGATTGTCAAAGGTTTCCATTTCTCAGGGACAAAGGGTTACAAGTTCATCTCCAAAAGGACCTCCTGAATTCCACCCAAAGAGGGGTAGCAGCTCAAGCAGTAAAGGAGATTTTGTGATGGAGCAGTGACATCCCGAAAGTCCCGGGTCGCCTACTAGGCGGTCACCATATCCGTTGGACCTATGAAGGTGGCCCCAATGGCAGTACCATCAGTGAAAAGAGATTTGGCAAGACCAGGCTTTCAGTCTAAGACCCAGCACAAATTAGCAGTGTGACCTGACTTTGTTGGCTCTTCATTTTCTCATGAGCAAATGGGGTACCTTCTAATTCTATGAAATAATAGCTGTAAACTTTCTTTTCTTTTTTCTTTCTTTTTAAAGATTTTATTTATTTATTTATTTGACAGAGACAGAGAGAGAACACAA